CCTCTTTAAATTCACTCTTTTGTATATTTGAACTAATATATAATCTTTGTCATTTCGATGGCACCTCAGGCTCAGCTCAGCTGAACTGAGATGATTTAAGAACCGAACAGTGGGTTTCTGTGGGGAAGTTCACCTGACAGTATGAACTATGGTATACTTTGCGTCGATAAAATTTGGTGTTTTAGTCTTCTGTGTTCACAAACTGTATTCTCCTTCGTGAATCTATCATGTGGGTCAAAACTTGAATTAATTTACTTCGATGATTTTAGTTTCATAGCATGTGTGTTCCAATTTATTTTTAATATATTTATTTAAGTGTCAAGGTATTATTTAAGGGTTCATGTGTAGCTTGTATTTAGTCATGAAATATAAAGGCAGACGTACAAGCAGTAATGTGTTTTGAACCGAACCTTAACTACATACAATGTTATTGTGGGAATGACATTTCCTGTTTCGTCACAAACAATGCCAAGGACTTGAAGGGGGCACCGCCTGTTGAAAAAAAAAAGGCCAAAATTGCCAAAAATAGTATTTTCAAAGCTCTTTGCAAAAAGTTATACACAGATGGTTTCAGATTCAGGGGGTTCAACCTTTAAGCTATGTAGATACTATTTTCTTTATCATTTGGACAGAAATGACAAAAAGATCAGTTGACGTTGGTTTACACGCTCAACTTCACTGCTTTACTCAATCGACAAAACATTTTGTCGTAGAAAGACTGTATGCACTTCTGGTTGACACATACATAAGTCGAGACTAGTCGACAAATTTCAGTGAAAATTTCTCACTTTGAGCCCTACTTTTGTCGACAAGCACAAAAAAGTTTGGGAAAAAAAAGCCAAAAACTTCACATATTGAAATTAAAACATTTTAACTTGGAACAAGATTTGAATTTGAAAATTTCCTCACTAAAATCTGTTCAATACATCTACCTTACGGATAGCCAAAATTTTAATCAAGTCTTTCCGTCTTAATGAAAGATGAAGGAACATTTTTTCCTAGCGCTCAAGAAAACACCAAACCTTTTCTAAGGAGTCTCTCTCTCTCTCTCTCTCTCCTCTTTCTCTCTCTCTCTCTCTCAATAATGTGTCTGGGTTTCAGAGCCTCGTCGAGTAAGTGGCGTCGCTATCACTATCTTATTTTATGGCAATCAACTCGCGTTGATTGATGGCTGGCCAAGGCGCTATCTCATTGAAAAATAAACTTACTTTTTTCATTGTGCAGACCCGTTTGAGAATATGCGTTCGGCCACACTCGGCACATCGGTATCCGATGTTCGGCTTTCTCGGACCTCTCTGTCGCACAACGGCTCCCCGGCCGAGCCGCTCTGCACGGGTCCCATGGCGAGCTCCAGGGCCGGGCTCTGCTCTCCAGGGTTAAAGCGCGCTACTTCGTTGACATGAAGCCTTGTTCCTGGAGCACCGCACGCTTGCAAGCAATAACTTACTGTGGACGTGCTTTGTGGTTGACTTCCAGGTGAAGCCATGCACTCGCTTGAGATTCTAGTGCAATTCCCTAGTTTTTGTAATTTGTGCACCAGCATAGCCACAAGGATTTTGGCCAAGATCTGGACATGTATGTGTGTCAATGAACCCGTTTCAACCCTACAATTGGTTCATAAAAACAGCGGAGGACTTCGGACACACTTGTCTGACATCTCTGCAGAAAGTTAAAATCGTGTTAATATTGAAAGAGGTCTCATCTATGTATTAGGAAATGTATTTGGACAATGTAGAGCATCATCAAGTTTAATCAAGACATTTTATGACTTGAACAAACACAACATGAGTTTCGAGAGTTCCCGTGCGTCGGTGCGCACCGTGTACTTGATCATGCAGAAACGAATGGCAGAGTCCTTGTCTTTTTCAGCTTTGCATTTTTCCAAGATGCCGATGAGTTTGTTATCGGTGAGTGACGTATCTTTGCTGATGCATTCTTCCAGTGTGTCTAGGCGTCCACTGAAGGCATCTAACGAGATGGAAAAAATGTTGAATAGTAAAACAATTAAACGACAGAAAGGAGCGCCCATACTTTCATTCTCCGTCTCGTATTTTTCCTATTATCAAGCATCTTTCACTTTTACGTTATTCTCGGTTAGGTCAGTACACTGGAAATCGAGGAATGTGACAGATACCACGTTGAAACGATTGACAGAATGACTCGTCCGCGCAGCATATTCCTTTTTTATGTGACGGCCAATTTTAGGCTGATTCACATGAAAACATAAACAAACATATATAGCACGTAACATAAAATTTAACTTTTTGACGAAACTGCATGTGGATAGATACCCTCTAGATATGAGAATTACTCCTGCCGGTAATGCTTCATTCGACGGTAAGAAATCGAGCTTACCTGTGTTGCCACCCGTGCCAAAAATTTCAGGGTGACCCTGCAAGGAGAAAAAGAAAGAAAATGAACGTGTACGAGGTCAGCTGACATCTAAAAACAGTTCGTTATAAGAACAAAAATTCCGGTAAATTAGCAGTAGTACACGTTTCCATAGCACAAAAAAAATGGTGCGTGAACTAGGTTTTTGATCTGCGTCAGTATTAAAAGTGTTAACAGGCACTTGAGAAGTAATTTAAAAAAAAGTGTCAAAATGGAGCCCGCGTTGAGATTTTTGCGCCATAATGATGAAGGAGCGTTATTGCAATTTCTCCGTTCTCTGTGCCAGGTGTGGAATGAGAGGAGGGGGGGAGGAGGAGGAGATTCGGAGGGACTTCGCCCATAAGAATAGGCTCTCCTCCCCCCTCCTGATTCTGTCTCTGGATCCGCCCTTGCATTGTGACTATGTGCAACGTGTCCCTAAAGTCATTTAAGCACGTCTTCAAGCGATAGCCAGGAACGGCGTTTCTAGTTGTATATTGCGTACTAACAATACACTGTTAAAATTGGTTGTTTTAAAACAACAACACAATTACCAACCTCGACAACGCTGTTGTTCATAAACAAGTTTGCTTGTTTTAAAACGACGAATTCGTTGCTAATTATTTTTCTGACTTATGCTGTTTCAAAACAATATTTTGCTGTGTACGAACAACCCGGACAATCTAAGAAGTGATTACTGCGGGTCACTGTGACTTTACTAGGTATGTGACTTCAACGGCAATCAAAATTGATGCAAATAAGGCTGTCTACTGGATTACAACCATCTTGTTGACGAACAACGCAAGTCGTTAGTAAACAACTAAAATCATTTGTAAACAACTTAAATCATTCAGAAAATTAGCAACATATTTACTGCTAAATTACAACATTATTTTTAACAGTGTAGTCCCCGACAAGAAATCCATGGAATACTGTTATTTCATTGCAGCGCGAAGCGAGTCTCTTAGATATACTGAGATACGGCGCTACGCCACAAGACGGATCATCTCTGCGCCTGAGTCCTAATGCTAACGTTGGAACCCTTGGAGAACAGTAGTGAGCCTCCTACACATTAAAGCTTGGCACCGGTTTTCTAGTATTGCGAGGAATTCTGCTTTTTCCTCCGACGACGACGACCCACCCTAACATGCAGTCACCTGAGCAATTGCCACCAGTGCAGCAACGAAAACCAGGAGCTTGAGCATGATGAGGGTGTCGCACCTTCTGCCGTCACTTCTTTGCAGTGATTGAGTCGCCGACGGACGGGAGACCTTCGAGTACGTCAGTTCATTATCGACGTTTGATAGCGTGCCCCGGGAGATAGTACACACTAAATGTCATGATGGGACATTTTTTGTCCCATGGATAAAAAATGGATAAAGGAATTTTAAGCACACTCGACGATGACACAATTTTGTTCCCCCCTGGCGACACATTTTGTGCAACGCCTAATACAAATCTTAATGTCATTAGATTATTTGTCCCACCTGGCAGACATAAAATTGTACCACTGTCGGATGTGCTTAAAATTGCTTCATTAAAAGGGGAGAAAAAGCCCATGATATTTAGTGTGCAAATTACATGAACTGTTAAGGAACCACTGAAAATAGGAAGGCGAGACAATTTTAGGGCACACCGAAAAAATGCCATTCACAAAAGTATGTCGGACCTTTTTTAGGTCATACTTTTGTGAATGGCCTTTTTTCGGTCACACTTTTTATATGGCCAAAAATCGGTCAGATGTCCCACCCTTTGAATCTCAGTGACACCTTGGAAAATCCCTTCGATCTTCGGAAAATTCTGAAACCTCTCTTTTTTGTTACAAAGTACATCTGTATGATAAAGTAAAGAGGCATCGGGGCACATCTTTGAGGATTTTCCAACTTATTTTGAACTTGTCTTCCTTTGATTTTACCAAGTAGTTGTTACGATTGACCAATATCTTCTCAATAACTGTACGTACTACGAAGTTACTTTTTTTGAGCACGGCGAGGCAGGAAATTGAGCACAGGCGTGAAATGTACGGATACGTGTGCCACATACAAAATAAGATGCTGCGGCCACGCACGTCGTACAAGAAGTACATAGTATAATTTAGTGTGTCGTCAATTCATCGAAAATTTTATTGGCCGCGTTCCGTTAATTCTTGTTCGGCCCAGATGCATCAGTCAAAAGGCTTTAACTTCACTGGTAAAACTAAAGCGTAGTATTACCCACTGTTTTCAAGCGTAATCAAGTTACGCTTGAAATCAAGCGTAACAGGCTCATCCGCCAAGATTCCCCCGATCTAAATGCATGGGGGAATTTCTAGTCTATGCTTGATTTCAAGCGTAAAGTCTTCAAGCGTAACTTTATGCTTGACTCAAGCATAGAGTTACGCTTTAGTTTTACCAGTGTTAGTAGAGTCACATAATCACGTTTGTCTTTCAATTCAAACTTTGCAATGTTGAGCATTTTCCACAATATGGCGAATGTATTATTGCCAAGGAAAGTGTGGAACCGGGCTCTCCGTTACGATTTCATCAAGAGTTTTCAATGAAAATTTCTAAAAGGGGTTTTAGCTCAGTCTGATTAGAGGTTGTTTTCAACAGAGTAACAGGGACTTAAGGGTCTTAATAAAACACAACGCATTGGCGATTTGTTGGTTTTTATAAATATGACAAGACTTGAACAGACATTTAATCAAGAAGACTAACGGTGCACTTGGTCTAATTGCTTAACAAACCAAACAAAAAACCAAACCGAAGAAAATGAGAGAAACGACAGAGAAAATAAATTTAACAGATAAGCCGAAATATGCTTGCCTTCCATGCCTTAATTCAGACAACAATCAGCCTGCTTGCAGCCATTGGTATCACACTGACGAACCAACCAAATTTAAGAGAGCGACTACAAACTGCCAAAAAAAGTTGCATCGCAGAATTTTGAATCTAGAATTTTGAATTAAAACGACAAATATATTAGACATCAATTGGAATAGGGAAAAATAATTTAGGTAAATTAGAGGTAGGAGAATTAATTAAAAAAACTCAGGCGTTATCGTATTTACCCCCTTTGTGATGGAGTTTTTGCAGAGTACTAACAACATAAGAAACATAAAAATGTTTCCTACAAAACCAGCAAATCTAGTTCTTAGATATGAAGCAGGTGGATTCTGTCATGACACGCTCAAAATGAGAAATAAGGGTCGATACTCTTTGTTTTAATCAGTCTTAGTTTCAAGAGACTATTTCTGCGACAATGTGATGTCAGTTCATGAAATGTAACGGACCACTTTGAACAAGTTAAAGGAGTGCTTCATATTCACTGCAGAGGCTGCCAACTGCCCAATTTCAGTCCACATGCAGCGAGTTGCCAAAGCTTATTTCAGCTGCAAGCACCATCCTCTGGGGATTGAACAATTGTCAGGAATAAGATCCTGCACTAGTAAAAACAATGATCCATACGTGGACACAGAAGATCAATTAATTCAACAAAGTAAAGCATGTCACCACCTCTGAAAATGGAAAAACTCGCATGACCATACCAGTCTGGGACTAGGCCACCTCCCCAATGTGGTTGCGAACATGCCGACGAAGGTTGCTACTGACACTGAATTTCGCATGGCAGACAGAGCACTCAAAAGGCTTCTCTCCAGTGTGGGTTCGAAGATGGCTGCGAAGGTTGGCTCCATGACCAAACTTCACATTGCAGACGGAGCATTCAAACGGCTTCTCCCCAGTGTGGGTTCGGAGGTGGCTGCGAAGGTTGGCTTCATGACTAAACTTCACGTTGCAGACGGAGCATTCCAACGGCTTCTCTCCAGTGTGGGTTCGAAGATGGCTCCGAAGGGAAGTTCCACGGGTAAGCTTCGCATTACAGAAAGAGCATTCAAAAGGCTTCTCCCCAGTGTGGGTTCGAAGATGGCGACGAAGGTTGGCTTCATGTCTAAACTTCACATTGCAGATGGAGCATTCAAACGGCTTCTCACCAGTGTGGGTTCGAAGATGGCTCCGAAGGGAAGTTCCACGGGTAAGCTTCGCATTACAGATAGAGCATTCAAAAGGCTTCTCACCAGTGTGGGTTCGAAGATGGTTCCGAAGGTGGGTTTCATGTCTGAACTTCACATTGCAGATGGAGCATTCAAACGCCTTCTCACCAGTGTGGGTCCGAACATGGCTCTGAAGGTGGCCCTTCTGACTGAAGCTCTTGCTGCACAGCGCACATTTGAAAGGCTTCTCTCCAGTGTGGGTTCGAACATGGCTCCGAAGGTTGCCCTTCTGACTGAAGCACATGCTGCACAGCGTACACTTGAAAGGTTTCTCCCCAGTGTGCGAGCGAAGGTGCATTTTGAGCGCCGATAAGCTTTGGAACACCTTCGCGCAAACAGTGCATTTGTTGGCCATGGTCGGACCTGGTGAGGATTCGCTCAAAACGACGTGGCTTCCCTTGACCTGGAACAAGAGACTTATGAGACACACGTCGAATCAGTCGAAGCACTGCACGAGTAAGCACGACGGTACAAACCTGCAGTGCACTGGGCAGTTGAGTCTTCTGGCACAGGGGATGCAACTGGCAGGCAGGATCCAAATCTGCAACGAGGAACGCTGTGCGTCAGACAACATTCGCTTGAGAATGTTTGAAGAGTGAAGAAAAGCAAAGAAAGTCTTTTTGCACCGAACGCAAGTGTTTGAACTTCATATAGTAACGTTTAAAATATCCTAACACTTTTAGTCGCAACCTGGGTAGATGCTCAATGAAATTGCTCTTTGTGTCAAGTTTGCATTTAAATTATTAAACATACAAAAGGATTTCGTTGCTTATGGTTTCGACACGGTTTCGTGAAGTGTCAATTTCACATTTGAACCGTGAATAATTTGTGATTACTTCCCACAATCCAAATGAAAACTTGAGTGAAAGAAAGATTTTGGGAGCGTCCAATGAGACGCGACACCGTACACTCTAAATGTCTTACGTAGAAATTTCCCATAAGACGAAGGAAATGGCGCAAACATGGTACGAAGGTGTTTTTTCTTCGTATTCCGAAGGTTTTTCTTAGAATTAAAAAGCTTAAATATTGATTCGTATTATGCTTGCGCCGATTTTACGGTAACATACCAATAATATGGGTCAAATTTCATTGCAGGACATTTAGAGAGTAGCAACAAACCGTTCGCGAAAACACAGACACTGCCCAAAAGTGCGTAACATAAGAAACGGACGGCCCCCAACAACTAATTTACCTACGGCCACATTGTCACAAAGGAAGGAGCATTAATTCAAAACATAACCGTTGCTGCTACAACGAAATTAAAAGGAAGTATTAACGGGCTAAGAGAAAACGTACAGATTTCGAGGTGTCAAAAATAAAGTAAGAGGTAAACAACAACAGTGAAAGTAGAAGCGTCATGTTCGACCATCTTTATCATTCAAAAGTAGTATGTAACGTACTGCCGGCAACATGGCACTAGTTAACTTCCGGTTTGTTTTACCTAAACGGAAAGTCATTACAGGTACGCACCTGAGGACAGGCTGTCCAAAACACCAAAGTTTGAAACCGGAAACACACTTTTCAACGCGTCTTAGAGAGCTAATGCATTTCACCACTAAAATTTGATGAAATTGACCCAATTTCACAAGTAACTTCATCCATCATTGAGACCGTTACGCCGGGAAATGAACTCGTTGAACACGCGTTTCCGGCCGACATGGCGGCTGCCGGTGCAGACCTTCTCTAATACCTGGTTTTGAATGCAGACTTGGCGTCAAGACGAAGACGCTCTTAGATAGGTCCAAGCAGTTCAGTTTCTCGCACGTCCAGCAAGATTGCCCGATGCACGCCATTTCAAAGCGAAACAACACGGCCGGGGTGTGGCCAGTTTCGTACTTCCTAACGCGTCGCTAGGAGCGCTGTACTCCAAGCGGGCCGAGGTGGTGGGGGACAGTTAGAGATCCGAGCAGTGGGCCGAGCCACAAGCCTTCTCGCTGGAAAACCCAGGTGAGGCGAACGCAACGCAACTTACCCAGTGTCCCTACCGCCAGCGCCTGCCGTACACCGTGCACTCACCTTGAGGTTCACCCGTACACTGCGATAGAGAAAGTTGGTTGCCGATCCGACGTCCTCCGTAACGACACGAAGCTCAAATCTTCTGTCGAAGCGTCCAGGAATTCAGCGTCTGCAATCCGGGCGAGGAAACTTTCGTCATGTCCGCCAGGGGCGCTAGGGGCGCTCGCAGGCAGTCAGGCAAGGCCGCTTCCAAGCCGAGCACCGAAGTTACCTCGAGGTAAGTGAGAGTGGTGACTCAGTAGCTAAGTGGACCAGAACTGGTGGGACCCAGCGTACAGTGCACCCATTTTTCAAGTAAATCTTTAACGCGATGCTATGAAATGTATTCTTAAAGTTCCGAGACCGCGAACTTTTCAAATAAGATTTGAAACTATTTGTATTTGTATTATTTACGAACAGTGACGGGGTCAGTTCTTTGAAGGTAAATTGTTTTTCAATTTCCATCCGAACCTACGACACAGCAAAATGGGGATTTGAGTTTCAAATAGTTGAACCCACGTTTATGCTAGCGAAAGAAACGTCTGCTTCACGCCCTGGCGTAACCGGGCAGTTCATCAAGTGCCCCGTGCCCATTCACAGTTTGATGTGCTTTAGAAACACTTAAAGTATTTTATAATGTATGATCTAAAGCGAAAGGAAATGTGTCTACTTTGGCTATTTTTAGGAGAAACAACAAACTGTTTGCCGGGAAATTTCATGCTAGTGAAACATATGTTTTCCGTGACAAAGTCTATTGGAAGCTAAACGTCTTCAGATCACTCCTCCGTAGTGTGTCTCAACAACTTTTCCCTCCTCGTGAGAAAAAAGAGTCAATTCAACATTTATTTTAAAACCAAGTGGAATTTGGAGGCAACTGGTTGACCTATGATCTGGGTAAAGTGTTATTTACTGCTGCGATGAAATTTAGACCGTAAATGTGGTCGAGTTGACTCATATACTTTTTCCACGTGGATATTCTCCAACACTGTTAGGCGTTGAGTCCAATAATTAGGGATATGGATGGAAACTATTCTGAGGCACGATTAGACCATTAAAACTAATTTGGTGATAAGTCAAGGTATTCCCCTCTTCCACTTCCTGGATTTAATATAACGCAGAATTATTTAGTTGTCACTTTCAAATTTTATTGCAATCTCTTCAAACGTCAATAAACGTACTCAAGAAAATGCATTGAATCTAGGGTACTTTCGTAGATCGTGAACCGGAAGCACACAGACGCCATGTTTGCGGAAGTAGACCAAAACTTGACATGGAAAGAGACGATAGTCAAATGAATCGGCCACCGTCGGCCACACTTGAACATTAATAGTCGTTTTATACTCATTTGCAGCGCATATGTGTTTCACGAGCAGTATTTGTACAGCTCTGTTCCTAGTTTTAGATCTGAAGAGAGGTTAGTTTCCGGCCAACATGGCGTCTGCTTGCTTCCGGTTCAGGATCCACGAAAGTACCCTATTGTAACGCGACGTATTGCGATCGAACGTGTGACCCCCACTGTTGGATCCCTCACTCGGCGTGCAATCCATTGGTGGGGTCACACGTTCGGTCTGAGTCCCATTTCACTGGTTTTTTGACAAAGGGGCGTAAGTCCACAAATTGGCAAAATCCACTTTTTTCCAGAAAAGAATTTAAAATTAAATAACAAGCCTTCTGGTTTTTGAAAAATGAAAATATCTCAATTAGTTCAGAAGATAGAGAAGGTGTCCAAAGGGCGTAAGTCCATTGCATTTTTGACAACGGGGCGTAAGTCCACCTGTTTTTTGACAAAGAGGCGTAAGTCCAGGTGGATATTTGACAAAGAGGCGTAAGTCCAGGTGGTATTTTGACAAAGAGGCGTAAGTCCAGGTGGTTTTTTGACAAAGAGGCGTAAGTCCAGGTGGGTTTTTGACAAAGAGGCGTAAGTCCATTGGCCATTCTGACAAAGAGGCGTAAGTCCACAGGCCATTTCGACAAACAGGCGTAAGTCCATGGGTCATTCTGACAAACAGGCGTAAGTCCATAGAGCATTCTGACAATCAGGCGTAAGTCCATGGGCCTTAAGGGGAGGTTCTACTGAAAATCTTACTTTCTTCAAATTGAGTCCCACTTTGTATGTTCATTGTAAATTTAAAGTATTTTACAGTAAATAGTCAAATATGAAGTTTGGAGGGGAATACCTAGCCCCAAATCCAGTCGAAGAGGAATTTTCTGCTATTTCCAGTCGTATCTTGAAAAATTCTCCTGCGCAAAGTTTTTCAACGTAAACTGATGTTCTGGGCATTTTTCACTTTTTTGGTTCATAATTGATAAACCCTGGCATTAGTAACATACTGGGACCATTGCAAAATCATAAGCTGTGTTTTCAACACAGCATGTCACTAAAATTTCAAGAAAATGGTCAAAATCCTGATATTTTAGTGTCTTTTTTTCTGTTAGGCGGTGCCAAAATAAATTTGTTGGGTCTCATGTCTTGGTGATGCCACGCTTTATTGCATGTGTGCCAAAGAAGTGAAAAATGTCTAGAACATCAGTTTACGTTGAAATACTGTGCGTAGGAGAATTTTTTAAGATATTCCTAAAATAGGCTGAAAAAACCTCTTCGACTGGATTTGGAGGAAGGTATTGGGCTCTAAATTTCATGTTTGACTATTAACTATGTAGTACTACACATATGCAAAAAATGTTAACACTAGGGCTCAATTTGAAAAGTGCCATTTTTTCAGTAGAACCTCCCCTTAAGTCGTAAGTCCGTGGCGTTAGTCCACAGACCATCCCAATCAACCAACCACTCATGAGGTCACTGAGTGGTTTGCAACTTGTGAACACTTCCAATCAAATAATAATGACTACAGTGCAAACCTAACTGTCTACTAAGTACACACTTAAAAATTCATGCTTCCAAGTACACATTAACGCATGCTTGGCCAAGTACATACTTACAAATGCATGCTTGCAAGTACACACTAACAAACGCATCCCTGGCGCCGTATAACTCCATCGGTGAAGCATGCGTTTGTAAGTGTGGACTTGCAAGCATGCATTTGTAAGTGTGTACTTAGTAGACAGTTAGGTTTGAAGTGTAACGTTTCCTCTCATCCCAATCGCATCAGGCTTACAATACGTATTTCAGAACGGACTCTAACATCTTTGCGAGGATCATCAGATTTAAAAGAGCCGCATTCTTCCTCACCGGAGTCCGATGAAGATGGTGATTGGCGCATTAATCTTCTGCCGCAGGGGAAAACTTGGACTCATCCATGCTGATAACCTCCGTGTAGCACACTCTGTGTTGGGCCCATGACTTTTAGGCCAAGTGCTGCCTAAGAAGACAAATGCCCCATTCACCATCGTCATCGGACTCTGGTTTCACCACCGTCATCGGACTCAGGTGACGAAGAATGCTGGTCTTTTAGATCTGATACCCCTTGCAATTATTTTATAGTCCGTTTTGAGATGTATTGTTAGCCTAATGGGATTGAGATGAGAGGAACCATTAGTCATTTTTATTTGATTGGAACAGTGTTGACATGTTGCAAACCACTCTGTGACCTCATGAGTGGACATTCGCCATTTTCACCACATTAGCTGTGAACATTCGTAAGTGGTTAATGATAAATCATAACTAGTTTATCGGGATAGTCTGTGGACTTACGCCTGTTTGTCAGAATGCTCTATGGACTTACGCCTGTTTGTCAGAATGGCCTATGGACTTACGCCTCTTTGTCAGAACGGCTAATGGACTTACGCCTCTTTGTCAAGAATCCACCTGGACTTACGCCTCTTTGTCAAAAAACCTCCTGGACTTACGTCTCTTTGTCAAAAATCCACCTGGACTTACGCCTCTTTGTAAAAAAACCACCTGGACTTACGCCTCTTTGTCAAAAATCACACCTCATTTTGAAGGGTTTTTCTAACATTGCAGGAGTTACAGAAGAGTTACACACATGAGATTTTTACCAAAAGATGCACACTTTCTCAAAGAATTTGTCACAAAAATTTGAGTGTTGTGTGGGAATTTATAGATCTTAAGAGCTAAAAACAGTATGTTTTTTGGCCGTCCTGAAAAATTTGGTTTAGTGGACTACGCCTCTTTGTCAAAAAACCAGTGATTTAGCGACTCTGGAGCTCAATACGCGTCCCTGGTTTTGGCCGCCTCCGCCGGTCTTCACTTTGTGCCTGGCGTCCTCACCCGCGCTGCCCGTGCCGTGCCGCAGGATGGCCTCGCTGCCGGATGACCTGCTGCTGCGAGTCTTCGGCTTCCTGGACGACGCCGCGTCGCTGCTGGACCGCGTGCCGCTGGTGTGCCAGCGCTGGCGGCGACTGTCGCGCGACCCTCGCGCCTGGGCGAGCGTCTGCGTGGACGCGCCCCGCTACCGCCGCGACCCGTGGGGCGAGGACAGCGGCAGCACCGACGACTCTTACGGTACGTAAGCAATTGCACTCTCTGCAAACTAAAGTGCGTACATGGTACACTCTTGTATGAGCATTGCTTTCCAAATAATTAAGATACTAGTCAACGAGTTCAAGTGTTGGAACCCTTTAATCTGAAAACTTCCATGCACATTAAGGGGGGACCCTGGTGAAAAAATGGTCAGAATTGCCAAATATAGTATTTTCAAAGTTCATATGTAAATAAGTGCATAGAAGGCTTCGGATTCAACAAGTTGAACACCTTTAAGCTAAGTGGGTAGTTTCTTTATCATTTAGAAAGGAAAACATCAAGATCAGTTGTCGTTGGCTTATACGCTCAACTTCACAACTTTGCTCAGTCGACAAAAAATTTTGCTGTAGAAAGACGTCCTGCGTCCTTGGTTGGCATGTACATGAGTCGTCTTGCATGGACTCCATTCTTTGATTACTTGTCGACAACTCCCAGTGACGGAATCTTGATATCAGCCCTACTTTATTTTACAATCGCAGAAAAGTTTAAATAATAGGCAAAAAAAATCACTTTTTTGACATGTTAAACTTTAAAAACTTGTATCTCAGGACAGAAGTTGAATTTCAAAATTCTGTCTCTCAAATCTCTTTCATACACCTTACGAATAACTCAAAAAAAATTTTCAAGACTTTCCGTCCCAATGAAAGACGCAAGAAGATTTTTCCCCAACGCTCTTAAAATCACTAAAGTGGCACTTTTCTCAGAGACCATTCAACATTTTGGATTGAAGTTTGTTTCGGGAACTGACCATAATAAACGTAATAATTAAGCGAAGTTTCAACTTTCTGGGATTATTTTAAAGCCTACTGTAAAGTTTTTTTAAATACTTGTGTCAGATGTCTCAATTTAGGTGTAAAAGTTCCTCTTTACATAAACTCATACTCAAAGACTAGGGCCCCAACTCCTATTAGTGTCTGAGTTATGGAGGTTTGCGTAAACTTTTAGTCGTTTCTCCCAAATTCTCCTCACAACAAAGGATCAGCTACCCAGTCTTCAGATTCTGGCAATTTTATCTATTTTTGAACAGTAAAAAGATGGCGTTGCCCTTTTTTAAATATCTGCCTTAGTTTTCCTGAAAAACCAAAACGAAGACCAACATAGGTCAAAATCTCACAAATTAGAAGAAAAGTAAAAATAGGCCTGATAAAATGGCTTTTACAGCCTCTTCTCGACTGATATCTTCAAATCTGCCTACGCTGTCTTTTTTCTATGCAAAAATAGATAAAACTATCAAAATCTAACGACTGAGTAGCTCATCCTATGTCGTGAGGAGAATTTGGGAGAAACCACTGAAAGTTTACGAAGACCTCCTCAACTCAGAAATTAATAGGAGTTGATGCCCCCAACTTTGGGAATAAATTCATCGTATAGTGATTGAATTTTAACCACAAGGTAATGTTTGTGTGACAAATGTGTCTAAGACATGCTAGTTTTCAAGGGTTGTTAAAGAAATCAAAATTTTTGTCTTGTTTGGCCAGGCCATCTTTTTCACTGTGAAAGGCGCGAAGGACTACAGTTGCAGCAGCGTGACTTTCACCTCTTCCTTTTTGTTACTAGAGGACGACTCGGATGGCAGCAGCGGCTCGGACGCGAGCAGCGACAGCAACCCCGCGACGCGGATGCAGGCCGCCTTCAAGGAGGCCGCGCGCGCCATCCTGCTGGCCCCCGCGCTGCGGCGCGTCAAGTTCAACTGGAGCCAGGAGGACGCGCACTGCGAGCGCGGCCTGGCCATGCTCACGTCCGCGCTGCGACGCACGCGCGCCGCGGTGCGCGAGGTGGCCTTCCCCGACGCCGAGCACGACAACGTGGGCGGGCTGCACAGCGGGCTGTCCACCACGGCCGCCGACGTCGTGGACGAGCTGCTGCAGTTCCTGCGCGCCGACAAGGAGCACCTGCGCGTGCTGCACCTGGAGAGGGTCCTCAACGCCTCTTCCTTGTTCGACGAGGAGGACGACTGGTGGGGCGTGGACGACGGTGACGACGAGGACGACGACCCCGAGGACGACGACGAGGCCCTGTCCGTCAAGGTCGCCGACACGCTGGCCGAGCTGCAGCAGCTGGAGGAGCTGAGCCTGTACGTGGACGCCAAGCCCAAGTACCAGCCCGGCTTCCTCGGCCACGCCGGCCTGCCCCGGCTGCGGCGCCTCAAGGTGATGCCGCACTACGCGGGCTACAACCCCGACAACGTGGACGGCATGGTGGACTTGGTGAGCGCGCTGCTGGGCGGCGCCGCGCAGACCCTCCGCGTCGTGGACTTGAGCCACGACTTCTACCCGCTGCGGCCCAGGGCCAAGGCGCAGCTGGGCCGCTGCCGGCAGCTGCGGGGCCTGGCCTGCAACCTGGCCGACGTGGGCGTGGTGCGCGGCATGCCGCACCTCCGCGAGCTCGAGCTCCTCGTCAACGACGACGACACCCACTACCTGCACTCGCACAACCTCGCCAACTGGCTGGACCCCGCCCCGGAGCTGCCCGCCCTGCTGCGAGCCAACGTCGACCTCCTGCAGGGCTGCTCGCTGGAGTCCCTGCGCGACCTGCGCGTCCGCGTGGTGTGGTCGCCCGCGTTCCCGAAGGAGGTCTTCGGCCCCCACAAGGCCCTCTTCGTGGAGCTGTTCGGCGCGCTGGCCGCCGCGGCGAGGCACGCCACCGCGCTGCACCTGGACGTCGGCGACCTCGGCAAGCTCCTGCCCGAGGCCTTCGCCCGCACGCTGCAGGCCATGCGAGGGCTGCGGGTCGCGGACCTGGGGAGCTTCCGAGCCGACCTCGTGCCGCACCTCGTGGGACTGGAGCAGCTCAGGGAAGTGTCCGGGTACATCTACTCGCGGGAGGACAAGCAGAAGCGCGTCGACGCCAAAAGCATCCGGGACTTCAAGGCCAAGCGGCCCGATGTAGTCTGCAGGATCAAGGCCTGATTCTCTCCGTGCCGACTTCAACATGTGGCGATAGGGTGTACTGTATTTACAATAGTCGGAGCCCACTAAATTTGATATGCCCATTGTTTTCTGATGCCATCAGCAAACATGGCTCGACAGATTTTACTTCGGATTATTTCGTAATTTTACTATTTTACTTGATTGTTACCTCGTATTTTGAAAGGTACTAGGTCTTTTAATTTATCTCCTCTGCTCTATCTGACAGGCCGGAAGTGTTGATCACACTTAACTTGACTAAGTAATTTTTCTGAAATGAAAATAAAAGTTCCAACTCTTTTCGTTAATGTGAAGTTTCTTTTAATTTACACATGCCTACCTCCCATTTACTCCAAATCCACTGATTTTCCGAATGTAATAATGAACTAATTTAAAAAGCAATAACATTTTTATTGCATTAGTAGCGCCATAAAAAAGTTATTGCATTAAAAGCGCAATAATTATTGTATTGCATTAGCGCATTTATCGCATTATTTGTGTAGTTATCATTTTATCATGCCGAAACTGATAATCTGGGCCCAGACCGGCCAAAACCTAAGGTACTTATTACAATTTTAGTGCGATAATTTTTTTATGGCTGCCACAGATGCGATAATTTGAGGGAATCACACTAGCCTTTTTATCGCAGCAAATTGTATGAAACTTATCACATTAGAAATACCAGTGTATGTCAAACTTTTCACCTCTTTCTTATTTCACGCACTCAGACTAACCCTGACTTACTGAGTTTCTAAACCGCCTGTTTTCTCTTTCAGAACGCACCGTTTCTCTCTTACGAGGTATTATGAAATCATTGAGATGAAAAAAAAAAAGGACTTCTAACCAGTGCCGAGAAGACTCTGCCAATTCACATGTGACAAAGAAAGGGTTTATCTTTTTGAAATGAGGCTTTAATCAGGAAACACAAACATACACATTTTGATCAACGAAAATGATAGTAAATTGGGTCAAATTACGCAGCTAACGTCTAAAATTCAATCATAACAGAACTGGACATACACTAGGGTGGTCCAAAAAAAAATGAAGTTGCTCGGATCGTCCAACGCCGCCCGGATTTGGATTCTACATCGAAAAAAATGAAATACGTGTTTTTTCCTTTTTCGAAAAAATGATTTTTAGGACCTCCTCAAAGCCCTCAAAGTTTTTAACAGTGCTATTAATAGGAAGAAAATCGTAACTTGGTCATTTTTTGACCGATTTTCAAAAACGATACGGGGATTTGTTCGTTTTTGAATGCTTATTACGAAAAAAATATGCCCAACCCTCTTTTTGGTTTGCCTAACTTTAAGGGGCAAAAAATGACTAAATTTCGGCCCAAATTGGCAAGAGTTTCAGTTTGTAGGCCGCTACAGCCACTCCAAGTCCACCCTGTCAGCATGGCGGGGTGCCCCCACCACGAGGCAAGCCCCATGAACAGAAATGAGATGCCGAGTGCAATTTGCCTACCTCACAGGGGCATCAAATTGTGGATTTTTTCGAAAATCTTTCAATAGTGGTGTCTCTTGGGGCCGCTGGGCACTCAGATGGGCACCCTTTCTCCCGGTTCGTTACCCGCACTACGTGATAAGAACAAACAATAGGAATTGACTGTTGAGCACCTGATGCCTACCTCTCAGGACCAGAAAAACGTGAAACTTCAGAAAATTCCTTCATTTTGATGGCTTTTCTTGTGGCCTTGCGTGGTTGCGGTTCCTCGCGTCAGCAACGTCCATTCCTATTGTTTGTTCATATCACGTAGTGCGGGTACCGAACCGGGTGAAAGGGTGCCCATCTGAGTGCCCAGAGGCCCCAAGAGACACCACTATTGATAGATTTTCGAAAAAAATCCACAATTTGATGCCCCTGTGAGGTAGGCAAATTGCACTCGGCATCTCATTTCTGTTCATGGGGCTTGCCTAGTGGTGGGGGCACCCCGCCATGCTGACAGGGTGGACTTGGAGTGGCTGTAGCGGCCTACAAACTGAAACTCTTGCCAATTTGGGCCGAAATTTAGTCATTTTTTGCCCCTGAAAGTTAGGCAAACCAAAACGAGGGTTGGGCATATTTTTTTCGTAATAAGCATTCAAAAACGAACAAATCCTCGTATCGTTTTTGAAAATCGGTCAAAAAATGACCAAGTTACGATTTTCTTCCTATTAATAGCACTGTTAAAAACTTTGAGGGCTTTGAGGAGGTCCTAAAAATCATTTTTTCGAAAAAGGAAAATACACGTATTTCATTTTTTTCGATGTAGAATCCAAATCCGGGCGGCGTTGGACGATCCGAGCAACTTCATTTTTTTTTGGACCACCCTAACATACACAGTAAGGCTGAAATCTGGCTGTCACGCGTGTCCTTCGGCAGACTCTATTTCAGCCTGTTCGCAGCCACCGCAGTAGAAACAACTACCCGAGAATCTACCATCGTTTGGCCCGCAACAACCACAGGCTGCCAAAATCAATTACTCAAAAAAAAAAAAATGCTTGAATGTAACATAAAAGTTCACTCTACTGTCATCATTTTAACCTCCTTCACTCTCTATTTGACTATTAGTTCAGCAATAACGTAAAAAAATATTGAAGTCAAGATAAGGATACAAACACTAACAAATTACACGTTACAAGCCATGACGCTAGCAAAACATAGAACTTCGTCGCAATTACATCTTTCAATTCAGCGATTAGCCAATAGATATTCTACTTGTCACAGTACTTTAAAAAAGCGCCGTTTTAAGGGGAGGTTCTGGTGAAAATCTTGCCATTTTCCAAATGGATCCTACAGTCATAATTTGTTTGGAATATAAAATTTTTCATTGAGGAGACTTAAATTTGACTTTTGAAGGCACATGCCATGCTGTAAACCCAGTCGAAGAGTCTTTTTGAGCCTATTTTGGCTGTATCTTAAAAAATATCCTTGCGCATACTATTTTGTCGTAAAAGGTTGTTCTTGACATTTTTCACTTCTTCGACTCATTTTCAAAAGATACCGGCATGCAGAGCTCAAAACTTCCATCATATTATTAGTTATTAGCTTTTAAAGCTGAAAAGTCCCTAAAATTTGACTATTTTGTACATTTTTGATCAATTATATTGAAATGCTTGGTAAGAAAGCTTGCGAATAAAAATGCAATTGACATTTTGAGATGTGCATGCCGGCATTTTTAAAAAATGAATCGAAGAAGTGAAAAATGTCTAAGCCAACCTTTTACGACAAAATAGTATGCGCAAGAAGATTTTTAAAGTTATAGCCTAAATGGGAGAAAAAGGCTCTGCGACTGGGTTCAGGGCATGGAATGTGCCTCCCCAATGAAAATTTTTAATAAATACTTGATAAGACATCAAATTTTTAACAAATTTTCAGAGTGGGACCTATTTAGGAGAAAATAGCATTTTCACCAGAACCTCCCCTTAAAAAAGTTGCGGACCTCTAAATACAGATTGGTGATGTCTGTTCATTTGAGCAATCTGCTAGACTGCTCCAGAATAACTAGTTTTAGCTTCAAATACAGAAAATCGTCGAGGTCGCTTTCAGCCGCTAGTTAGATACCTCCAGGAACGACCCCTTAATTTCACGGAACTTGACTTAGATAAGGGGACAAAACCTTTGAAAAACACGAAAAACTACCAAACATACGGGGCATTCCAGACCCAATTAGCAGGCCGCGTAGGTGACCACTGCCGATTTCGTTCCTTTTGTGGTCAAATGTTACCTACCACTAGAGTAAGATGACCCTAAATTTTTAAGGTCGAAATATGAATACTTCAGGAGATATCGCAATTTGAAATTTTCTCTGAAATTTCTTTTAGTGGTTCTGAACAAAGTGTCAACTTTTGCGCGAATCCCTCCTGCTTCTTAAATTTTTGACTCAGAAGGTCGAGATCACTGCTCCTTACGTAAAATTCATCAAGGAATCAGAATCCGTCGCCAAAAAGCACCTACGATCGAGTTTAGAGGTCAAAAAGTGGCCTCAAACACAAAATTTTGTTATTTTTGTGCCTAATTTCAAGGCAAAAATGTAAAGGGAAGCGGGTCTAAACATAAACTTCCCAATAGTGGAAAATGTTCCTTTAGACTCCCTCTAAACAGCTGCGGCTCGAAAAAGATGGTTATAGGTCAAGATCAGGCAACACAGCCTTAAAATTAGAGAGCGAATTTCAATGAATTTAATAAATTATGTTAGCAGTAGGGTGCGTCGATACAGACGTATTTTTGACTACGACTCTTTGTAAGCGCTCTATGTTGATGATTTTTTGGTGCTGATTCCAAAACTGACCTCGGTACTACGATGGGACAACTTCTTCATGTCCCTATTGGGTGTTAAGTGCCAAAAAACGGAGAGTTTCAAGACTTTTTCTTGGTTTTTGGTCCCGCACACCATCCCAAACTGTCGGGGCGACTGTTGCATGGTCTGTTGGACATCACGTCCACAAAAGACAACTCTTGCAGTGTGGCTGGGCTATCGGACACCTTCCATGTAAGTTCCAGACGTCAATTTTTATGCTATTCTTACTAATTTCTTCGTTATTCTGCCGTAGCTTCACTGTATTTTGACAGGGGTGTTATGTAACCAAATAAAGCAATTTGGCACTGCGACCTTGAGACTCGTGTCAATAGAGCATTCTAGTCGTCCAAGATCGAAGAAGTAGAAGAAGAACAAATCTGGAACTCGCGTCGGCAACAAACTTTGCAGACTCCTGCTATTGGACTGGATTTAGAGATGTCCGAGGCGTATATTCTCCAATGCACTTTCGTCTGTTTCAAATACTTTTTAACCCAGGAATTGAGGATATTTGTGGATATTTCTCCTTGAAACCGGGCTCGCCTTGTACTTTCTTCCTTCCCGCCTTCCGGTTTTGTTCTTCTTTTCGTTTTTCAATCGCCAACGACTAGAATGCTGTATTTAAAAGTAAAAGGGAGTTTCTTAAAGGAGTAGAAACACCTTTCCAAGGTAACGTAAGACCTGCAGGCCCAATGCAGGCCCATATAGTTATCACCTGGCGCGCAGCAAGAGCGGCTGGGGCCTTTCGGGGAATTTCTGCCACTGTAATTCAAAGGGTGAGACATCGCACCAATTTTTGGCGGAACAAAATGTATCACCGAAAAAGGGTGATACTAAAATGTATCACCGAAAAAATGGTCGTACACGCATGTATCACCGAAAAAAAGGTGAGAAAAGGCGAGTTGGCCCTTGTTTTCCTGGGGAAGTATCAACCTTTTTTCGGTGATAGATTTGTGTACGACCTTATTTCCGGTGATACATTTGTGTACGACCTTTTTTTTTTCGGTAATACATGCGTGTACGCGATCATTTCTTCGTTGATACATTTGAGTATCACCCTTTTCCGGGCCGAGACAGTTATGTCTCACCCCTCAGAGAGTGAGATGTATCACTATTTGATTTTCAGTGTGCTGACCCCCCCCCCCCCCGCTAAAATACTTTGTCATTTAAAAACAGGCAAATTAACGAAGACATTAGTAAGAATAGCATAAAAATTGACGTCTGGAACTCACATGGAAGGTGTCCGATAGTCCGGCCACACTGCAAGAGTTGTCTTTTGTGGACGTGATGTCCAACAGACCATGCAACAGTCGCCCCGACAGTTTGGGATGGTGTGCGGGACCAAAAACCAAGAAAAACTCTTGAAACTCTGCGTTTTTTGGCACTTAACACCCTATAGGGACATGAAGAAGTTGTCCTATCGTAGTACCGAGGTCAGTTTTGGAATCAGCACCAAAAAATCATCAATATAGAGCGCTTACCACGAGTCGTAGTCAAAAAGTCGTCTATATCGACGCACCCTACTGCTAACATAATTTATTAAATTCACTGAAATTCGCTCTCTAATTTTCAGGCTGTGTTGCCTGATCCTGACCTATAACCATCTTTTTCGAGCCGCAGCTGTTTAGAGGGAGTCTAAAGGAACATTTTCCACTATTGGGAAGTTTATGTTTAGACCCGCTTCCCTTTACATTTTTGCCTTGAAATTAGGCACAAAAATAACAAAATTTTGTGTTTGAGGCCACTTTTTGACCTCTAAACTCGATCGTAGGTGCTTTTTGGCGACGGATTCTGATTCCTTGATGAATTTTACGTAAGGAGCAGTGATCTCGACCTTCTGAGTCAAAAATTTAAGAAGCAGGAGGGATTCGCGCAAAAGTTGACACTTTGTTCAGAACCACTAAAAGAAATTTCAGAGAAAATTTCAAATTGCGATATCTCCTGAAGTATTCATATTTCGACCTTAAAAATTTAGGGTCATCTTACTCTAGTGGTAGGTAACATTTGACCACAAAAGGAACGAAATCGGTAGTGGTCACCTACGCAGCCTGCTAATTGGGTCTGGAATGCCCCATACACGAACACAATCATTCCGAGGACGTGACATGACGTTGAAACGAATGTGACCAAATGTCACGTTCCTTTGAGTATTGTGTCACATTCGTTTGAATGAAAATCGGCCATTCATTAGCTTGTTTACATTCAAACGAATGTGACGCAATGTTCAAAGGAACGTGACATTGTGTGACACGCTCGTTTCAACGTGATGTGACGTTCCAAAAATGAGACTGAACACACTAATACAAGATGTCAAACTGGTGTCAACATTTTCAAACCGAACCGCTCTCACTAACGATGGCAGTCTAGAGGCTAAGGCTTCTCTGCAGTGTGAGTGCGAACATGTCGTCGAAGATCGCCACTGAAACGAAACTTCTTGGCGCAGACCGTGCACTCAAACAGCTTCTCACCAGTGTGGGTTCGAAGGTGGCTCCGAAGGGAGTCTCTACGACCAAACTTCACGTTGCAGACGGAGCATTCAAAAGGCTTCTCATCAGTGTGTGTTAGAAGATGGGCCCGAAGGTGGCCTTCGCGACTAAACTTCGCATTGCAGACGGAACATTCAAACGGCTTCTCACCAGTGTGGGTTCGAAGATGGTGACGAAGGGAGGCGTCATGTCTAAAGTTCACATTGCAGATGCAGCATTCAAAAGGCTTCTCCCCAGTGTGGGTTCGAAGATGGTTCCGAAGGGACGTTTCGTGTCTAAACTTCACATTGCAGACGGAGCATTCATAAGGCTTCTCACCAGTGTGTGTTACAAGATGGGCCCGAAGGTGGCCTTCGCGACTAAACTTTACATTGCAGACGGAACATTCATAAGGCTTCTCACCAGTGTGGGTTCGAAGATGGTTCCGAAGGGACGTTTCGTGTCTAAACTTCACATTGCAGACGGAGCATTCATAAGGCTTCTCCCCAGTGTGAGTTCGAAGATGGTTCCGAAGGGACGTTTCGTGTCTAAACTTCACATTGCAGACGGAGCATTCAAAAGGCTTCTCACCAGTGTGGGCTCGAACATGGCGACGAAGGTGGGCTTCCTGTCTAAACTTCACATTGCAGACGGAGCACTCAAACGGCTTCTCTCCAGTGTGGGTCCGAACATGGCGACGAAGGCTGTCCTTCAGACTGAAGCTCTTGCAGCACAGCGCACACTTGTAAGGTTTCTCCCCAGTGTGCGAGCGAAGGTGCACTGTGAGCGCCGACAACTTTAGGAACACTTTGGCGCAGACGGTGCATTTGTTGGCCATGGTCGGACCTGATGAAGAGTGGCTCAAAACGGCGTGGCTTCCCTCACCTGGAACAAGAGGCTTATGAGTCAAACGTCGAATCAGTCAAAGCACTGCACGAGTAAGCACGGCGGTACAAACCTGCAGTGCACTGGGTAGTTGAGGCTTCTGGGACAGGGGATGCAACTGCCAGACAGAGTCAATATCTGCAACGAGGAACACTGTGCGTCACACAACATTTGCTGTCTACGATTCGCTTGAGAATGTATGAAGAGTGAAGAAAAGCAAGGAAAGTCTTTTTGCACCGAGGGCACACTCTCATTCCAGGAACGTGACATCACGTTGTCACGACTGTGACAAAATGTCACGTTCGTTTGGGTGTGAATTGCCCAAAAATCAGCTTGTTTGCATTCAAACGAACGTGACACAATGCTCAGGTGATGAAGGTGATGTCACGTTCCTTGAACACTGGTAGAACTCAAGCGTACTTTTACGCCTTTCTTCAAGCGTAGTAGAACTACGCTCGGCTTCAAGCGTAGTTCTTCATTTCGCCCCTCTCCCGCCTATCCAAATGCATGGGAGAATTTCTTCTCTACGCTTGACGTCAAACGTAAAGTCTTCAAGCGTAGTTGTATGCTTGAATGAAGCATACAACTACGCTCCAGTTTTACCAGTGAATGTCAGTTCAAGTGAAGTTTTCATATAGTAACGTTTAAAATCATAGTTGTACACCGGACAGTCTACACTTTTTGTCGCACCCTGGGTAGCGATGCTCAATACTCTTCGTGTCAAATTCGCATTTATTTAACATGGAAAAGGTTTTCGGTGCTTATGGTTTCTAATCGAACCGTGCACTGTAAAGCCGGTGGTAAGTCTGCTTGCCACAAAACTGGCAAGCCGTTTTGAATGCCAAAATTTGGCAAGCTTTGGTCGAAAATCTACAAAAGCTTGCCAAATTTAGGCAAGCTGGAGGGTATTTCCGGGCCAAGCTTGCCAATTTTGTGGCAAGCAAACTTACCACCGGCTTTGCAGTGTAAATAATCTATGATTATTCTCCATAATCCAAATGAAAACTTGAGTGGAAGAAAGAATTTGGGAGCGTCCACTGAGATACTCAACACCGATTACTGGCATAGGGATGCTAAATTACCGGTAAAATTCGACGTTACGTAAAAGACGGTAATTTACCGTAATTTACCGTAAAATTTGTAATTTTCGGTAAAATTCGAGTTTTTGGCTGATTTATCAAATATTCATGTTTTCCTATGTATTTAAAGTGTGAAAAGGGGTTATTTTTATTGATATGACAGTAAATCGACAAAATTTACAAATCAGCAGATAGGGTCAATATTTAACTGATCAACCAATTTGAATTTTGAAGAAACCCACTGAGATTCCAAACGCTATGAGTATAGCACGTATGGTGCAATGCACTGAGATATCGCACCATACGTGCAATGCTATAGCCATATGCATGGGGATGGGAAGGCAATGCAAAAGCATTGCACAAATTGACGCTATACTTAAAGCGTTTTGATTGTCAGTGCCGTCGTACACAAAGATCGACGAGCAAAGCAGCGGTGTATTCCCCTTCAGCAGGCACAGTCTTCTTGCTAGCTAGCCAACAGGGGCGTGCACAGCTCGCCTCCTCGGGAGGGGCGGTGGAACCGTTTTTTGAGGAACTTTGCCTAACTTCCAGGAGTTAGACGCCAAAACCTGCCTCAAAAGTATACCTTTTGGGGTCCTTCGGGGGGGGCGATCGCCCCCTCCGCCCCCCCCTTGTGCACGCCCGTGCTAGCCAAAGCTCCTATGTGGACTGTTTCACAAGGCCCTGGTGGTGAAGGGCGGTCAGTTTGAATCCGTTACGATGATAATATGTTACACTTTGCTTCTATTTGAGTCCCGAGTTCATTTAATTTACGAAAACAACTATATGGCCAAAAATTGAATTTTACCGTTAATTACCGGATTTTCGACGTCGCGGTAAATTACGGTAAATTACCGTTATTTACCGGTAATATTACCGTCCTTCGCATCCCTATACTGGCAACAGAATGTTAAGGAAAATTTTGACCCTGCCTAAGTGCTTCACATAAGAAATGGACGGCCCCCAAAAATTTAGTTACCTACGTCCATATAGTCTCAAAGGAATACCAATGCAAACACTGCTAATCCAAGCGTGGACCACGAATGGTCCACGCTAGGAAACATGTTTAGGCCGGTCTGGGCCCAGATTATCACAGTTTTGGTGTAATAAAAAATAACTACGCTAATAAAGTGATAAATCCGCTATTGCAATTTTTCTTCTTATAATGAAATAACTTGGCGCTACAGACGTAATAAAAATGTAATTGCTTTTTGAACTAGATCATTATCACACTTGAAAAAACAAGTGTATCCCCTTGCCACTAGAAATCTCTGGGAAAATCTGAAATCTTGCTTTAAAAAAGGCCAAAAACAAGCTTATTTATGCCGGAATATCGGTTAATGTCTTGCGAAATCCGACGAAATCTTTGGCCTTCCGAAATTTTGCGTCCCCAAACATCCCATGTGAATGCTCCCTCGGGCGCTTCAAAGATTGATTTTGACGAAATTACGCGTTTACGGCTTCCGATCAAAATTGAAAGCATCCCCAAAAACGCGAAATTTCGCCAAAATCAATCTTTGAAGTGCCATAACTTAACTTCTTACCGGCTTGAGATAAAAATTTAGGTGGGTGCTCTTTGGATTCAGGACGATTTTGTCTATCGATTCACGGACACTCAAGAGCTAACAAGATAATAACTTCTCGAAAATCCCAAGACAAATGTACTATTTTAGTCATTTGTTGAGCGACGGTGGGACAACCAGTCCTGCGCCTCGTATAGCCCAGTGAAGCCCGCCCGCCGTGTTTCGCTAAGAGATGGCGAGACACGAGCAACTGGTCAATCAGTTTCACCACAGGATATTCTTCAGCTTGGATCAACCAGACCGCCCCTTGAGATTATATCCGCAACAATTTCGCATAGTGGGGTAACACAGTGGAGGCCTGGACCGGATGCCAAGAGGAGCCGTGCCGTCTGCACCGGAAACTCACTTTTAAACGGGCATCTTTGAATGCGTTGTTACCGTGTGCCAAGGCACGAAAAAGCTCGAAAATTTGACGTAACAACCCAAATTCACAAGTTACTTCGCCATTGGGGCCGTTACGCTGCGAAATTAACCAGTTGAACACGAGTTTCCGGTCTAGACGGCGGCTTCCGCCTAACGTAGCAGACCTTCTCTGATATACTGTATTCTGAATTAAAACTCATCGTCATGACATGAAGACTGAAGACGCGCTACGATTGGTCCAAGCAGAAGATTTACTCTCGTTTAGCATGATTGCTCGATGCTCGCGATCTCTTAGCGAAACATGGCACGTCCGGGGTTTGACAACAGTGAGAAAAAAGTACGGAAATAGTACGGAACATGTCTAGTCAATAATTTGCCTGGTACGTCCGTACGGAACGTTCCGAACTTTATTTCCGTACCCATTTACATGGGTTCACATGGAGCAAGTACGGAACGTTCCGTACTTTTCTCCGTACCTCCGTACTTTATTTTTCTATACCATTTCCGTACAAAAGTCCGGAATTTTTTACAGTGACCCGTTTCGCAGCGGGGGCCGTCCATGAAATACGTAACGCTTTTGGGAGCAATTTTTGGCCCCCTCCTGAAACGCAGCTTGAGGCTGCCTCGGACCTCTCCCCCTCCCCCGGTGTGTTACGTAATGAATTGCTTTCAGGTTAAAATCGCGTAGAAACTGTCAGAACGTACGAGGCAAACGGAATTTCATGCATGAAAGAACAGATGTGAATGGCCCGATTTTCATCGCTCTTGCGTAACATCACGCCAGGTCGAACGGAAGGAGCTTCTTTCTCGTCCAGAGACCGCAAGCGCCCGGTGACACCACCGTCACCGTCTCTCCTACACCGTGCACTCACCTTCAGGTCCACTGCGATGCGATGGAGCGCGAGTTGGTTGCCGATATGAAGTCCTTGCCGTGACGTCTCGAAACTCACAACTTCCCTCGGAGCGTCCCAGAGTTCAGCGTCTGCAATCACGGCGAGGAAACTTTCGTTAATGTCCGCCAGGGGCGCTACGAGCGCTCGGAGGCAGTCGGCCAAGGCGGCTTGGAATCCGGGCACCCCTACTCTACAAACTGAAGTGTGCACTCAGTATGCATCTACAGATGCATACTTGCAAGTACACACCTACAGATGCGTACTTAGCTGAGTACACATCTACAGATGCATACTCAGCTGAGTACACATCTACAGATGCATACTCAGCTGAGTACACATCTACAGATGCATACTTGGCTGAGTACACACCTACAGATGCATACCTAACCTCTCCAAGTATGCATCTGCAGATGTGTACTCAGCTGAGTATGCATCTGTAGATGTGTACTCAGCTAAGTATGCATCTGTAGATGTGTACTCAGCTAATGTAAGTATGCATCTGCAGGTGTGTACTTGCAAGTATGCATCTGTAGATGCATCTGTAGATGCATACTGAGTACACACTTCAGTTTGTAGAGTATGCAAGTTGGAGTGGCGTCTCAGTTACCTTGAGGAGCAGAACTTGCGCGACCTAACGTACAGTGCACCTTTTAGTGCTACACTTGTAATGTGATGCTGTGAGACGTGCAGTTAGAGTGTCGACACCGCGAACTTTTCGCGTTAGCCTTGTTTGTAACTATGTACGAACGGGAGCCAGTTCGTTGAAGTTCACTAACGCAGTAACTAAGTGGGGACCAGCACGTGTGCGACCAAGCGTACAGTGCACCTTTTCGTGCTACACTTAATGATGTGATGCTATGAAATGTCGAGTTAGAGTTTCGAGACCATCAACATTCCGCGTTTGACTTGAATCTATGAACGTACAGTGAGGGGGCCAGGTCTCTTTGGCCGTGTTCAGGACATTGTCACTGGTCAAAACGAAGGAAATCAAATAAGTCAAAACAAACTTAAGACTTGTCAATAGGGTACTTCGGAGAAGAGCTGGACCGGAAGTCGAGAAGAAATCAAGAAGAAGAAACGCCGGACTTGTATCTGAATGTAACTCTGCGGAAGCGGCAGAACGGCGACGCAGACGCTCATTCTTATGCATTTCGCATATTTTGTTTTTCTTGATTTCTTCTCAACTTCCGCTCCAGCTCTTCTCCGAAGTACCCTATTATTTCACAGAATTCTGTTGATTGCTCATTACCTGAACAACTTCCCATTAACTACAAACATGAAGGTTCAGGCCAGTTGTATGTTATTACAAACACCGGAAAACTGAAGCGTAGTTGTATGCTTGATTCAAGCATAGTTGTATGCTTGATTCAAGCATACAACTACGTTTGAAGACTTTACGCTTGACGTCTAGGCTCTTACAGTATTTTCCGTAGGACCGCACAGTATTCTCCGTAGGACCTTACAGTGATCTCCGTAGGACTATACAGTCCTCCAGGTCCTACGGAGAAGACTGTGCGGACTTACAGAGAATACTGTACGGCCCTACGGAGAATTCTGTAAGAGCCTACGGAGAATATTGATAAGAGGGCTACGGAGAATCCTGGCAAAAAAATCAACAGAATTTTCCGTACCTTTTTGCCACAGTGAGCGTGGAGAAGAAATTCTCCCATGCATTTAGATAGGCCGGAGAGGGGCAAAACGGAGAACTATGCTTGAAGCCGAGCGCAGTTCTACTACGCTTGAAGAAAGGCATAAAACTACGCTTGAGTTCTACCAGTGAAGGTTCAGATGTACCAAAGTGAATTTTAATAAGGTAGCCCAGGTACAGAGCGTATCTGTTTGCGTATCTGTTTGTTTTAGTCTGGTATAATGTAATGCTTGAAAACGTTGCTCTTTCAACCAAGCGGTCTAAATTTTCCCTAATGCGTTTTGATGGGGGAAATCTGGGCGGATGAGTATGTTACCCTTGGTTTCAAGCATAAAGTGTTTATGCTTGAAAACAGACGGTATTAACACGCAAGAGTTTTACCAGTAAGTAAATTTGTTTGCAGAATCCACTGACATATATTTTCTACGACTAATTGGAATATTACCGTAAACCGGGGTAACTTGAGACAGCAAGGGTAACTTGAGACACTTCCGCTTTTTTCCCTGTTTGGTGCTGCCACCTAGCGGGGAACGCTCGAAGCTCGAAACTACCGCAGCACTTTATTCTCATACTTGCTTGGGAACGCGGCGAGAGTGTAAATGGCGGACTAAAACCAAACAGGTTTGTTTTTACAACGATTTTTCGATTTTAGTAAATTTAACGATTTTGGAGAAGTGTCACAAGTTTCCCCTGGTACTCGAAATACGTCTCGCTAACACCCAAATGATTATAGTATGCTTAATCCCCAATGTTTCAACGTCCAAAATGTGACTTTGGATTTGGCGGTAACCTAACACAAAAGATTTTACAATGACTTTTATAGAAAATGGTAATTATACGGGGTAACTTGAGACACCTAATTTTGTTCAGTTTGATGGAAATCGAGTGGGGTAACTTGAGACAGGCACCTCCTTGCTCAATAAGTTCTTACTCTAATGACATAATCACTTTATTACCAGTGTATCAGTCTTGGTTTGTTGTTTGTTTGTGACAGGTTATCAACAAGAAAAGCATCATGGCAAGAAAACATCAAAGAAAACTTGGCACAAGGACCTACGCAAACTTCACACAAGCTACTTTGGATGCCGCTCTGAAGGAAGTAAAAGCGGGGAAGTCTGCCAGGAAAATAGCCCAGAAGTACTCAATACCCCATGCAACTTTAAGCAGAAAAGTCAAGCTAGCTCACCCAAAGCCAGTAGGGAAGACCAACGGTACTTACACACTGTTCGGGATTATTTTGTGAAATTACGATTAATTGTCTGTTAAATCTGTACCACGAACTGCTCGTAAATTTCAAAAACGATTTGATCATCCATCTTTTTTTCGTCAATTTACAAAAATAATCTTAAACTTACAAACTTAATCCTCAAATTTTGGTCGTTTCAGGCATTTTTTCTTCCTATATTCTACCTTCCTCTGGCCTGCTGCTAACATCGGCGACCCGTGGCGCTACCTCACGGACCCGCGGGAACTACTGATATGGCGGGAGATTTTGAACTTGGAACATATCAAAAAAGGTTTGGGAAGTGAATTTTGATCTGTATGACCTTAATTCTAATGAAGATGCTTCCCATGATAAAATATTGTGGCCTAAAGTGGATCCCAGGCACATAATTGACTACTTTTTGGTGTTCCCAAGAGCTCGGGTTGGGGTGGTCCGACTAAAGCTTTCTCGACATCTTTTTTTTTTAGACCTACTGCTTTTTCTTGAATTATTGATTGACTTCTTTTGTATGTTTTGTGATCACTGATCATGTTAACCTACTGTTTCATTAGAACTGCAATGTTACTTCTTCTTGAACAATTGAGTGAAAAACTTATTTATGCAGCTTTTTTCTTTCACTTTTTGTACGCAAATGAAGAGAAAAATTGATGTTTCTCACCTTCGTTCAAAGTTTGTATTAATTAAATCTTAATATACACTAACAAATTGCTCACTTGCTCGCCCTTATCACAGTTTATAAAGAAATCGACACTACAGCCATAATTCTCTCTTAACTGTGATAGTAAGGGCGAGCATGTGAACAATTTGTTAGTATATATTAAGATTTAATAAAAACAATTTCTAAATTAAGGTGGGGAATATTAGTTTTTCACTTCATTTGCGCACAAAAAGTCAAAGAAAAAAGCTGCATAAGTAAGTTTTTCACTAAATTGTTCAAGAAGAAGTTACATTGAAGTTCTAATGAAACATTAGGTTAACATGATCAGTGATCACAAAACAAAGAAATAGTCAATCGATAATTAAAGAAAAAAAATTAGGTCTAAAATAAAAGATGTCGAGAAAGCTTTAGTCGGACCACCCCAACCCGAGCTCTTGGGAACACCAAAAAGTAGTCAATCATGTGCCTGGGATCCACTTTAGGCCACAATATTTTATCATGGGAAGCATCTTCATTAGAATTAAGATCATACGGATCAAAATTTACTTCCCAAACCTTTTTTGATATGTTCCAAGTTCAAAACCTCCCGCCATATCAGTAGTTCCCGCGGGTCCGTGGCGCAGCGCTGTATGTTGTCCCCTGAATGTAGGCAATTTCAAGGAGCCGAGGAACCAAGAATAGTAAGGATACAACGGCCGAAAACGCACTTTTTCAGATTTGCTTTTACAATCATACTTGTAAATTAACGATTTCACCTGTAAATTTAAGAGGCAGTTTGTAAAATGATGAACAGATTGTCAATTTACAATTTACTTTGTAAAAAAACAGTGCAGTTCGTGGTACAAATTTAACAGGCAACTATTCTTAAAAATAAAACTTCATTTGTAAGAAAACAAGTTTGCGCGTTTTAAAACGAGAATAGTCGTAAGATAACGATTTTATCAGTAAAACTACGATCTTTCGTCAGTAACATTAAGGGGGCAGTCTCGTCCCTGTACCCTTTTATAGGGGGGTTTTCCCCCCCTCTTTTGATGACGATGATTTTTTAAATATACCTCTTAGAGACAAACGGTAAAAACCAAATGAAAGAACGGAGTTTTTACAACATTTTCAAAAAAAAAATATTTTGTTTTGTCTTCAGTTGTAAGGGAGTTATAGGGAATGCAACAAAAGCCGACAAAACATACAAAATTGCACTGCGCGACAATTTTCTCCGGAAGTTCTTAACTTTTTGGCAATCGGTTTGCGGCATCTTGAAGATGAAAAAATCCTCTTTACTTTAACCTACAATCGTCCATATAGCCCAAGGATTACACTTTTTAAAACGTAACCAAAAACCTATACAAACTTAGGAACGGTTTTAATTTAGGTTTCCCTTGGGCTACATGGACGATTGTAGGTTAAAGTAAAGAGGATTTTTTCATCTTCAAGATGCCGCAAACCGATTGCCAAAAAGTTAAGAACTTCCGGAGAAAATTGTCGCGCAGTGCAATTTTGTATGTTTTGTCGGCTTTTGTTGCATTCCCTATAACTCCCTTACTACTGAAGACAAAACAAAATATTTTTTTTTGAAAATGTTGTAAAAATTCCGTTCTTTCATTTGGTTTTTACCGTTTGTCTCTAAGAGGTATATTTAAAAAATCATCGTCATCAAAAGAGGGGGGAAAAAACCCCTAAAAAAGGGTACAGGGACGAGACTGCCCCCTTAAGATTTCATCGTAAAATTACGAATTTATTCCTAAATTTATGAGTAAAGTTTGTCGAAAATATGACAATTGTTCATGTCATGAATCTTGTAGTTATTTTACGAATTATTATTTGTAAAATTACAACACTAATTGTTGGGATTACTGTTGTAAAATAACGACTTCTCTTAACAGTGCAGAAGAACAAGAAACACTTCTAGCCAAGTCTATTTTGTGCTGCGCAGATTGGTCAATGCCTCTCATGGTTATTGATCTCCAGCTCATTGTCCAGTCTTACTTGAATTCTAGTGGTGTCAAGTGTCGTGTATTTAAAAATAACTGTCCTGGACCAGATTGGGTGCAAGGTTTTTTGAAAAGAAATCCTGAAATTTCTAAGAGACTCTGTCAGAATGTTAAACGGGCAAGGGCATGCATGGACAGGGAGGTTATGAATGAATACTACTCCGAACTTGAAGAAACAATGAAAGATGTCCCCGCTGGAAATATTATAAACTATGATGAAGCAGCCTTTTCTGATGATCCTGGCCAATCATATGTGCTTGCGCGTAGAGGAACCAAACATGCTGAAAGGATCATTGACAGTTCCCGATCAAATAATTCAGTTATGTTCTCTGGTGCTGCAGACGGAAACATGTTGCCCCCATACATTGTGTACAAAGCTAAACACCTGTACCCTGGGTGGGTGGAAGGCGGCATTGAGGGATCTGCCTATAATCGCTCAGATTCTGGCTGGTTCGATATGTCAATTTTTGAAGACTGGTTTGTGAAGATTGCTCTGCCCTACCTCAAGAGACGGCCTGGAAAGAAAGTTATGATTGGTGACAGTTTGGCGAGTCACATATCTGTGAAAGTTGTGACTCTGTGTGAAGAAAATGAAATTTCCTTTGTTCTTCTACCACCTAACTCCACACATCTGTGTCAGCCTCTAGATGTAGCGGTATTTGCCCCTTTGAAAAGAAAATGGAGAGAAACACTAGTGCAGTGGAAAAAGAAAAACAAACAAGGTACGATCAGCAAAGCTGAGTTTCCGAGGCTTTTGAAAGTGGCTGTTGACAGTTTACAGGTGACCATGAATAATAATATGAAAGCTGGATTTAAGGCAACAGGCATCTTTCCCGTTGACAAGAGCAAAGTGTTGAATAAGTTGCCAACAAATGATGATGAAGATACAGGAGACGGAGATAAGTGGTGTAAAACATTGGTTGACCACTTAGCCAAGACCAAAGAAAATTCGCAGCCGCAACAGAAGGTACAAAGAGGAAAGCGTCTCCAAGTTGCCCCAGGGAAGAGTATAACTATGGCTGATCTGGAAAATGTCCCTCCTCCAACAAAAAGAAAAAGGAAGACCAAGCAGACAGAAAAATCAAATGACAAAAGTGATGAAGAATTTGATACACTAGGGAGCAAGCACTTGATGATGAAGGACTGGACGTTGCCCCCTCTCCCAAACCAGCAAGAATGCCTCTTCGTGAACTCCAAGCAAGACCTGTAGGACAGATTCCCTCAAGACCACCTGCTAGAAGAAGGCTGCACCAAACAAATGCAAGACCTCAAGAGAACCTGGAACCCACAGAAGATGTTAGACCCCAGAGTGACACTTCAGTGATTAGTGATGGGGATTATGTACTGGTGTCTGTTTCTGTAGCACTAAGAAAAATTCAGTGTGTAGGTCAAGTTGTTTCACAGCCAAGTAGCACTGTATGTGTTGTCAAAATGATGAGACTTAGAAATTCATCACACTTTACTTTTCCAGATGTTGAAGATGTGCAAGTAATTATGAGATTAGATGTAGTCATGAAGTTACCATTTTTTATAGAATTAAGAAGGGGTGGTATAGAATTCCCTGGTCTTGACCTGTCAACTGTTACCTAATTTTCTTTAAGTATTATTTATTTTTTGTTAATTGTTTTACTTTTTTGTTAATTTCTAGTCACAAAATGTTAAGGTCAGACATGAACCACTTATCTTTCGGTTCCTAGAAAATTGTAAAAGACTTACATTTTTTATTTTGTTAATTAATTAATAAAATCTTTACTTATGATTCAAAATGTCTCCTAATACAGTCTCCAACCTTCCTACTTCATTAAAAACAGATAAACCACTCAAAAAAATGAATATACACCAGAAAAAAAAAAACAATTTTAGTTGATAAAACCAAGAAAAAATAGGAGTGTCTCAAGTTACCCCGGTTTACGGTAATAAGGCTCCATGGTACGGTTTGGTTTAGAGTTGGAGTATTTCAAATCTGGAAATAACGTGAACCTTTAAGCAAGTTACAGAATTATGAAAAGGAAGAAAGCAAGCTGTCTTTTGATGATGCTCAAAATTATTTTAATCAATTCTTTGATCCACAAACATCAAAACCAGTGCCGAGAAGACACTGCCTCCTTAAAGTCGACAAATATGTGACAAAGAATGGGTCTTATCGAGAAACATAATTAGACATTTTGATCAATGAAAATAACAGTGAATTCGGTCAAATTACGTAGATAAACGTAGAACATTGATTCATAAAACAAAACCCGACACCACAGTAAGGCCGAAATCCGGCAGTCACGCAAGCGTACTGCGAGGGGCTCTATTTCACCCTGGTGGCAGTCACCGCAGTACAAACAATTTCCGGTCAACCTACCATCGTTTGAACCTTCACAACCACAGGATGTCAAGGTAAGTAAGATCGATGACCCAAAAAACAAAGTGCTTTAAGTTGACTTGGGAAGATTCAAGAAAATCTACAACTCCAGCGTCATCTTTTGCACCTACTCCACTCTCTTCTTGAATTTTCGTTAAGTGATAACGCATCTCATATTAAAATGATAATTAAAAAACTAACAAATTATACATTTAAAGTAACAACGGTAGCAAAAAAGAAGTTAGTCACAGTCACACCTTTCAATTCAGCGTATGATCCAACAGATATTTTACTTGTCACATCATTTTAAAAACATTAAGAACCTCTGAATGCAGATGTGTGCAATCTGTTGATTTGTGCAGTCTATGCTGCGTTTGTGCAGTCTATGCTGCAGAGGTTCCACACTGACAATTTTCGTTTCAAGGACAGAAAATGGCCGAGGCCGCTTTCAACCGCTGGTTTGATACCTTGCGGCACCACTTTTTATTTTGGGATTGGATTAAGATTATGGGAAAAAACACTTTGAAAAGCTACTAACTATACACGAACGCACTCATTCCAAGAACGTGACATCACATTGAAACGAATTTCTCAAAGTGTCACGTCCCTTTGATCATTGTGTCACATTCCTTTCAATGCAAATCAGCCATAAACTAGCTTATTCGCTTGCAAAACGAATGTGACTCAGTGGTCAAAGAAACGTGACATTTTGACAAATTCGCTTCAACCTGATGTCACGTTCCTGGCATGAGAGTGTTCGAGTATGGTTACTAGTAACAGTGGGTGGTAACTCAAATCAAACAAAAGATGTAAAGCAGATGACAACTACATTTTGAAATCGAACCGCTATCATTAACAGTGCCAGTCCAGTGACTAAGGCTTCTCCACGGTGTGGCTACGAACATGGCGGCGAAGGTTATCACAACAACCAAACTGCTTGTGGCAGACCATGCACTCGAAGGGCTTCTCCCCGGTGTGGGTACGAAGATGGCGCCGCAGCTTACCACTGTCAGGAAACTTCTTGTGGCAGACCGTGCAGTCTAGCAGCACTCCCGCGGCGTGGGTCCGGAGGTGCCTTCGCAGGGCTCCGCTGTCGCGTAACTTCTTGTCGCAGACTGAGCACTCGAAGGCCTTCACCCCGGTGTGGGTCAGCAGGTGGCTCCGAAGGTTATCAAGGGAACCAAACTTCTCGTTGCAGATCGTGCACTCAAACGACTTCTGTCCACTGTGGGTTCGCAGGTGGGTACGAAGGGCGGCTCCCTGACTGAACTTGGCATTGCACAGTGTGCATTCGTACGGCTTCTCGCCAGTGTGGGTGCGGAGATGGCTCCGAAGGGTGCCTCCACGGCTGAACTTCATACTGCATAGCGTGCACTCAAAATGCTTCTCTCCGGTGTGAGTCTGGAGATGCTTTTGAAGGTCGCTACTTATCCTGAACCTCACACTGCACACGGAACATTCGAAAGGCTTCTCCCCGGAGTGGACTCGGACATGGCTTCGAAGGTTGTTCTTCTGACTGAAGCTCTTGCTACACACCGTGCATTTGAAAGGCTTCTCCCCAGTGTGCGAGCGCAGGTGCACTGTGAGCGCCGATAAGCACCTCATCTCTTTGGCGCAGACAGCGCACTTGTGGGCCATAGTCTGACGTGGTGAAACCCGCTCGGAACGACGCTGCTGACCCGTTAACCTGGAAAATGAACATTTTCTCAGTCACACGTCGAATCAGTCTAAGCACAGCTTGAGTAAGACGGTGGCACAAACCTGCAGTGCAGTGGGCAGTTGAGGCTTCTGCCTCCTGCAGGAGGGCTAAAGGCTGCTCGACAGGATCAAAATCTGCAACGAGGAACACTGCGTCACAACATGCGCTTGTCAAGTTTTTATTAAGAGTGAAGGCAGTTTTCGTGGCCCACAGGCAAGTTTTTTTATAGCAGTTACGGGCTATGTATTGGATTTAAATACTTTACAGCCTTCTATTTTTGTCGTGACCTTGGTGGGCAGTGAGAACAAACAATATTAACACTTCTGGGCAGAAGTCATGACTTCTGCAGAATGAAAAACAGATCATGGACCGTTCTGCGTACGCCGGTGATTAAAATCTGGGGCCAGGCCGAACGTTTTAGCAGTCTCACTCACCGTAACACTCACTTGTAGGTCCTCTCCGGCGTACACGTTCTTCCACCAGCTGCTGACGTCGTCCGCACCGTCACGAGACCCGAACCGTCTGTCGATTCGTCCAAGTGTTCAGCGCCTGCAATGTCAGGGAGAAAACTTTAAATACTGTCAGCTAGGGGAATACGACAGCCCACGGTCTGGCGTACACCTCAGTAAAACCGCCAACTTCAACTTACATTAAGCCGAAGGCCTTTTGGGAGGGAATGATTTTGCACGTCCTAAATCCTTAAATGAGTACCTCGCTTAACTTTAGCCCGGTCGCTTTGATCAGGTTCTAAGTCTCCCGAAATGGCAAACAATCATGTGTGGTCTAGCCTTTAGTGGTAATGGTAGCACTGGCAGCACACCAAGCCTGCGTGAGCGTTGGGCTGCCTACTCCACAGGCGAACCGCTGAAGCTGTAAGAGAATGGCGGAACCCGTGAATGCCGTTCCACGGTTCAGCTCCTGAAACTCAACTACCTCAAGTCTGATTCTTGGCATGATATATACACTGTAAATGTCTTACGGTGAAAGGCTGCACCAACGTATTACGGAGGAGATTTTCTCCATATTACCAACGAAATTCGTCAAGATGTCTATAAGGCACAGTGAATTCTCACTGGTATGTTATGAAGTCAGCTCCACCACCATAATATGGAACATTTTCACCATAATATGGAGAATCCTCACTGTACAACATTTACACTCTCATTCCAGGAACGTGACATCACGTTGAAACGAACGTGACAAAGTGTCACGTTCGTTTGAGCGTTGTGTCACATTCGTTTGGGTGTGAATTGGCCAAAAATGAGCTAGTTCACATTCAAACGAACGTGACACAATGCTCAAACGAACGTGACATTTTGTCACGTTCGTTTCAACGTGATGTCACGTTCCTGGAATGAGAGTGTAGCGTGTAATTTCGGCATTCGCCGATCCACATGAGGGAGGAAATCTCGTGTAACTTTCCGTGAGAAAAAAAACCATATTTCTGTTTTTGATTTGGTTAGTTACCCCGATGGTCTCTCTGGCTGGTTTCGAAATTCGAAACCGGTTGGACTGAGGCTGGCGTTACAACGTTTCTATGAATGGAAGGTTAAATCAGCTTAGGCCGTTAAAATTTGAAAAGACTTTCGTTCAATGGCGTTTTCTCCGATTGACACGAGAGCCGAGTATTTAGACTGGATATATTTTTCAGTGTTTCGTCAACAGAAACGTCACTCAGCAGAAGGAAATCTTCAATAAAACGAGAGTTTCGTTTCCAAAAGCTCTTGTCAAAATTTTGAGCCTCGAGCACAGGAAAGGGTTGATTTGAGGCTAATTTGAGGTCAAATTTTATAATGGACGAGGCGTTTTGCTCCATTCTGACCTACTTCATGAAATAGAGCTAACTTATGGATGTGCATCCTGCAACTGCAGAAGGGCACTTCAAAGTAGATATCAGAAGCGATAACCTGTACGAGGAAAATTGAGACCCCTCGTTGCCGATGTATCTGCACTCTTAGAATTAGAAATAAGTTGTGTTTTCAAAGTTACTTTTGCAAACCATGTATATGCTCGTTGCATACCAAGAAAATAGCAACGCGTAAATGCACACTAAATGTTCAGGTGGAATTTTGTAAGTGCAACTTGCGCGATTTGCATAATATTATGCGTAAAATTGCATAAATTTATACGAGTGCTGGCACAATTTAATGCTTAACGGTACACAGGTTTAAAATCATGCATCACCACGTACTAAATTGTACATAAACATTTAGCGTTAGGCCATATTATTGCAATTGCAACAAATCAGTTAAGGACTCTTCTACGATGAGGCGTGGAAATGAGCGTCGTGGACAGTATGGGCCAGAATATCGGTGTAGGCGGTCAAAATCCCGGACGCGTTTTGAGCTCCAGTCAATAAATGAGACCTGAACCAAACGAGTGAACCCACCAATGGATTGCTCTCCACACGCTCGGTTTGAGTCGTGTTTAGCGACTCTGGAGCTGAAAACCAAATCGCATCTGGACTTTTGGCCGCCGGCGCGGGTCTTCCGTCCCACTGACCGTCTCCTTTTCCTGTTCGGCCAGGAAGCGACGACCGCGACCAGAAACGCAAACATGACACAATCTTGCGAGCCGGCGCAACGCGTATAAGTACTCGGAGCCATCGGGCAGAAAGGCATCAAGTTGCAAGCTGCCTCACGCAAGGAACGCACCTGGAAGCCACTACACTGATGATGATGAAGTTTACCCTTCTGGCGGTGGTGCTCGTTGTGTGTGTCGCGGCGGTGCGGTCTACGGCTCAGCTCGACCCAGGTGAGGCATTCCGTAGTTGTGGGTAATATGGACCACTTTTCGAGCTTATTTTAGAATTACCGAAAACTGAAAGGTGCGGCGGTCTTGCCAATTTAAATATATTATCTACCATCCTTCCCGCGTGTTTTGGCCCAAACGGCATGTCATTAGCCTGCTTCTTTGCAGAGTAACAGCTGTGCAAAGAGTGGTCCGTATTACCCCTTAGTGTGGGGTAATATGGACCACCCCTAGAATTTTTCAGCTATGAAGGGTGATTCGGGTTTCCAATTTGCTTCAGAGACTTACACACTAAATTCTCATGGACTTTTTAAATGCATAAAGACGCAGTTTTTATGCATAGTTATGCATGCTCAGAATCGTCCATGTATAAAATTATGCATCACTGTGGACATTTTATGCATCTTCCTGCATAAAATGTACACAGTGATGCATAATATTATGCATAACATATGGACGTTTCTGAGCATGCATAACTATGCATAAAAAAGTCCACAAGGATTTAGTGTGTAGAAAAGATCTTCGGAGTGTGTTGGACTTGGGTGCCTCACTCGAATCTCGCGACAAGAGCTCCTGCGCCACTTTCCGTACCAAACCACGGATTTTTTTTTTTTTTTTTGCAGTGGATGTCGAGAATCCAGTGGGGTGCCGGCTGCACAAGAGGTCCGCCTCGGACGGCTACACCGCCTTGCTGCGCCCCGTTAGGGCCGCCCCTTCCGGTGCCGGCTGCCGAGCGGTCGATCACGCCAACTGCGCCAAGGAGTGTCTGAAGCTGGACTACAAGGCAGGCAACTGCTGCTGCGGCTGTGACGCGATGCTCCTGTGCTGGTGCCATGGCTGAACCGACCGCAAGGGGACTTAACTTAAAATTTCAGTTCACAAATTTTTGAACTCCACATGAATTTAGAAAGAATTTCTGTGAATTACAGCCAAATTTCCTTGAATTTCAGCGTAAACTACTGGTTTTTGAAAATTTTGTATGAGATTTGAGTAAATTTCAGCAACTTTGAAGACATTTGATTATAATGTAAGGTTGTCCATGAACGCCGGTGTTTTAAGTTTTGTAGTTGGTTCCCCTTGACCGACCGCGAGAAACGGTGCAACATGTCGTAGTATTGTTGATGGAATAAAATTTTTGACCCAGAAATAGTTTTGATTAACCCGTCTCCCTGTACCTGCCGCCGGTCCGTTGTCCTCGACCTGAAATCGAATGTGTATCAATGAATTTCATTATTCACGGCAAATGTTCAGCCATAAAACAAATCTTGCTTCAAAATCTTGTTTCAAATTTGATACAACTTTCTGTAGCCATTCAATTCGTGTGGGGAGTGGGAAAGCTATCAACTTGCAGAGCACAAATCGCAACTTTTATTTTTATTGAATACAGTTGCGTTGGGGTTAAATTAGATTGCGTGATTGAATATTTATGTCTCATTAATCAATAAATTAAGGTCCTTGTGCGAACAGCTCACGACATAGTCGTACGGTTGCGGTAGTTCGATGCTACGAAATCTCCGAGCAGCAGCCAGACACTGTGAAAATAAACCTCCGGAATTTTCAAAGGTATGCCTCTGGAAGAAATGTTCCCGACGGATCCTTCGTCAATTCCCGCAGATCCATCGTGAATCCACTCGGACACAGGATTTCCACGAATTTACAACTCCAGCAAACATAATCTACGAGGGGTGACCCACCGTAAGATTTTGTGTACAATGATTGTGTGAATGTGCAAGATTTCTGGCGCTTTTGCCACTCATGTTGCCTACTTACAGGCGCTTTTGCCACCTGAATGTGGAATGTGGTCAAATTTTGTACAATGAGTGTGGGAAGCTGTTCCCCCCTCGCCTTTCGAACATAACTTATTTTTCGTGAGCGATGCCTTTGTGAACTTCCAATCCAGTTGTCACAGTGAGGCATCCTTTGGGGAGTCTAGGCGGCCTCGTCCTCCTCGTCGGTGGTGACCTCGAGGTGCGCGACCCGGCCGCCGTGGCCGCAGTTGACCGTGACGGCGTAGGTGGCGCCGGGCTGCAGGCCCTCGACGCGGTACTCGTACTGCGGCTGCTCCTTGGTCACGAGGATGCGCTCCAGGTCGGGGTCCGGCACGTCGGTCTCGGCGCTCTCCTCGTCGGCGCGCACTTGCCGCGCGACGGCAACCTGGGAACGGACAGCGCCATGTCACAGTGGGCCAGAAGACCGGTGGAGGCGGCCAAAACTCCAGACGCGTTTTGAGCTCCAGAGTCGCTGAACAGGGCTCGAACTGCACGTGTGACCCCACCAATGGATTCGTCGTTCGGACAGCAATCCATTGGTGGGGTCACAGGGTCAGTTCGAGTCCCATTTAGCGGCTCTGGAGCTCAAAACCCGTCCGAGATTTTGCCCACCACCACCGGTCTTTTGGCCCATTGTGCATTTGGCCACTTGCAACGTGACACATTTTGATTCCCTGGTGAGACTAAAGCGCAACGATTCGTCTGTTTATTGCAAACAGAATTTCCACTAGAGGGCATGAACTCCTACCTCGAATGAAGTCAAGTCCCCGTTGATCTTGTTCGGCATGCGCCACGCCACTAGTGCAGAGGTTTTGTCACGTGACAGAACTCGGAAGTCTTGAGGCGGTTCCGACACTGAAATTAATTTGCAATATGTATACAGGGAACTCGTCTAATTTTCACATAAGGTGAATAAACACGAATGTCAATGAAACAAAATGTTGTTGTCTCACGCTTGCAAGTGTGAGACACCATTTGTCTCACACTTACAAGTGTGAGACACCACTTGTCTCACACTTGCTGTTTGTGGTTCACACCGGTTCAGTGCTTCAGGACCCACGCTCGCAAGTGTGAGACAAGCCGTGTCTCACACGTGGAGGTGTGAGACAAACGGTGTCTCACACTTGTAAGCGTGGGAAAAACGTGGCTCACGCTTGGAAGTGTGAGACTCTGACACACTTGGATTTGCTGTGTACAAATATTATGACCGAAAAAAATGGCCATACACAAATGTACGACCCTTTTTCAGTCATACCTTTGCGTATGGCCTTTTCGAGAGGTCCTATTCAAAAGATCTTATATGGGCGTTTCTCCCAAGACAATCTTATCTTAAACGCAGGTGAATTTCACATAGTTTGATCATTTGATACAGCTACATATCAATATAATTTGTGAGTTTGTTCAAGTAAATCTAAAGATGGAATATCAAAGAATCCAAAAGTGCATATAGAAATATGTTTCGCTTACCGTCGTATTTATTCTGATTGATCGAAATGAGTGAAATTGGTCGGCGTTAAAGATAAGATTGTCTTGGGGGAAACGCCCAAATAAGATCTTTTGAATAGAACCCCTGGTTTGTTTTTCCGGTCATCCTTTTTGTCGCCAGTCTCACCCTCTGCATTTCAGTGAACGCAACTCACCGCCCTTGACGGTGCTGGCCTCCACGGAGGACGGCTCCCCGGGCTTGTCGCCGTGCTCGTTGACGGCGCTCACCGTGATGGTGTAGCGGGACCGCGGCCGCAGCCGACTCACAGTGTAGCACACCAGGTCCGGCCACGCTTCACAGTGTGAGCCCACGGGGAGGCGTTCGCTGCGCAACAGGCGGGGCGGGCCTCGGGACGCGTCTCCCTTTTCCTTGACCGGCGTGGTTTCGATGATGTAGGCGCGCAGCGTGCCGCTGGGCCGGGAGGGCTCCCGCCAACGCAGCCACACCGCGGTGCGGTTGAGTCGGTACACTGTCAGGTCGCGCGGCGGGTCGGGGACTGCGGACCGAGCAAGGTGAAAAACAGTCATTGAAGCGCATTGCACCCCCCCAAAAAATGACTTCTTGGAACAAAAAAAAATAACTGAAAAATTCTCTGAATTTTCCTTGTACCATTTTTAACAAATTACAAAAGGTTTTTTTTTAAGACTCGGCTCGCTAGGCCCCACTGACACAATCCTCTAAAACTAATGACGGTTCTAGGGGAAACATCTGTGGGAAATCTGAATCCGGCATCGGGGTGACGAAAGCACTGCGGTAAAGAGCCAAAAAGCGCATCTCAAGGGAAAAAAAATTGAGTTTTGTAGAGATTTGAGAGGTGTTACTCCACGGCACTCACCCTCCAGTTTAAACTTCGATTTTCCCCCTGCTTTTTCATAAAAGGGACACTTAAGCTTGCCTTTTAGGTTAACGCTGATATTGTATATTAGGGGCAGCCACGTTTGATGTTTACCGACACAGGGTTTATTTAGTGAAGATATTCCGTTGGATTTCGCAAGATTTCACCCGGTTTTGCGTCCGAGATTTGATTATTCGGGACCTTTTTTTGGAGGAAGATTTCAGGTTTCTAGAGATTTCGGGCACTCAAGAGGACATAGAATTACGAGTTGTCCCCACGAGTTGTTTCCACGGGGTTGTCCCCGCTCGCTGACCGCAATGTGGCCACAATATTGAACCGAGACAAAGAAAATGCACACCATTCTGTGTCGAGACATTTTTATCAATTTACAGACCACATTTTGTCAAAACTCTTTGTCTCGCTAAATTCAATTTTCAGTGCACCTGTATGGTACGTGCTGAAGTTGAGCGTGGCGGTGCGGCGGGCCGGACTCTCCCCCTCCGTGTTGAACAGGTTGACGCTGAACTGGTAGTTGGCCAAGGGCTGCAGCCCCGTCAGCACCGTGGACGTGGCCGTCGTGTTGGCGGCCGTGGCCGTCCCCGCCTTGCTGCCCAGCGGCTGGAGACTCCAGGCGTACTGCGCCGTCGGACCGAACACCCACTCGCACTGGTCCGAGGGACCCCACTCCACCAAGGCGGAGCTGTTGGTCCGGGCAGAGACGCGAAGCGACGAAACGCTTGCGTCCGGTACTGCACAGAAACAATCAAGTGAAAGGCTGCACCAACATATTATGGTGGAGATGTTCTCCATAATACCAACGAAATTCGTCAAAATATCAATAAGTTACAGTGGATTCTGAATGGTATGTTACGGAGGCAGCTGCACCACCATAATATGGAACATTTTCACCATAATATGGAGAATCTTCACTGTACAACATTTAGAGTGCACATGAGAAAAAAGGGGAATCTGCAAAAGCCTCACATGGGCATACGTAAAATGTCCGATGTATTTTACGCACAAATTTGATCGCTTTTTGAGATAAACTTGCCAATATATTAGGAAATACTTTAACAGTACATTGCAAATGACAAAAAGCCATGTTTAATCGGATATAATGGACCAAATAACCTATAAAATTACCAAAATCGTCCAAACGTAAGCAGTAAATAAAGCACATTACATCTGTACAAAATACTGGCAAGCACTGCAAATCCAAGTGTGGGACAGGCATGCACTAAATAACGTGGGACAAAGTGTCCCAGGCTTGCAAGCGTGGGACACGGTTTGTCACACGCTTGCAAGTGTGGGACTAGGATTTGCAGTGAGAGATAAAAAGTCAACACGAGGCTGAAAGTGTAAGAGAACCATTCAGAGCGCGAGAAGACTTACGGAGGAAGCCGGTGGTGAAGGTTACAGCCTCCTTATGGTTGTCGGCAGCTTCGACTGTCACACGGTACTTCGCAGCCGGTAGAAGTCTCTCCAGGGAAACACTAGGGCTTGCTACGCTCATGATTCCGTCTGGGTGCGGGCACGCACCGGGACACGCAACCAGTGACAAACACTGCGAAAGAAAGGTCCGAAAAACTTTTACAAACTGGACGTTTGTTTTACACTCTCTTTCCAGGAACGTGACCTCACGCTGCAACGAATGTGACAAAATGTCACGTTTCTTTGAGCACTGTGACACATTCGTTTGGATGTAAAGCAGTCATTAATTGGAGGGGCAGTTTTAATGCGCGGCCACTCGTTTCTTCAGCCTCGTGAATATCGAAAGGGCGCAGACGCTGAGAAAGTTGTTACCAACCCACGAAAATTAATTTACTGCCTTCTGTCTGCTACGAACATTTTAAAAATGATGGACTTCAAAGATGTTCCATTGTCAGAACATTGTGGACAATAGCATTTGAATTTTTCGAATTTCCCGGCATTTTGATGTTTATTGTCAAGTTTAAATTTTGACGGGTGGCACATCGACCACATTGGTACCACTGCCATTGGATGCCAGCCACTTATCCCTTTTACACAACGTTTTTTCTTTCTCCTCACTCCTACACACTGACTTCCTGACTCCTAGGATTTCTTGAATTTTTTTTAAAAGAAGTTTAAGGGGGGAGAGAAGCCTCCGGACCCTAACCAATAGCGGTTCTAAGAAACCCCTAAAATAATAATTAGAAAATTGAAGTCCGCGTCTTTTGAGATATTCGAGAACTTCTACCTTAGGGGTCAAAAATTATCCAAATGACCTAATTTTTGGTTGGGAATGTTTTTGAATGCAGAAGAGCCTCAAAAAAATGGTTCGATATGGACAACCTTTGTCAAAAACCCTGTTCCCTTGGCAAAGACCGCGTCCAATAACTTACCTCATGACGCACAAAGAAGTAGTCTCCTTGGGTGAAGTCATAAGATTCCCAAGTGAGGTTAGCACCGCGAGCTGATACGTTGGTCACCTTAAGCTTCTCCACTCGACCTGCATGCGCCATAAAGTAGAGGTTGGTCACAAATCGTAAGTAGCTACATTCACAGTGTGCTTCACTCTATTGATAAGTGTCGTACGTCATAATGCTGAGCTAATTTTTAGTACTTTACAATACAAATCTCTCATACTACACTTGGAAATTTGTTCGTAATATGTATGAAGAATACTGTTCATAAGTTACGGAGAACTCATAATCATGGGTTACTACATCCGCTGTGCTGTCATTATTACTAAGCTTTTTCATCGTACTACGAAGAAAACACCCAATAGGATCTTAGAGTGTTGAGTGGCACATTTCGACAACTGCCTATCCATCCCCATACTTTGAATCACTGTAAAACCAAACGTGAACAACACCACATTTGAAATGCAGAGGTGTGGAATTTTCAGTGAGTTGTCCACGTTTGCACCATGCTAAGAGATACGGGCTTTGTGAGCTACTCCACACTTGAAGTGTGGGGGCTGCTAACTCTGCACTTCCAAGTGCAGGAAGTGCGGAGTTGTTCACGTTTGGTTTCACAGTGTACTCACGCCGTCCTGACGTGCGAACTTCAACAGCCGGCGGGAAATTGAACGCGTGCATTTCTTCGTCTAGCAGTAGCACTCGCACGAGCAGACTGGTGTCAGGTGGCAGGTTGAGCATCGTGAAGTTCTGAGGGGCCGTCTCAGCTCCGAGAAAATCAGCCGGCAGGCGCCCAAGTGTTGACGGCACCCAGTCACCGTTTGGCTTACTCTGGTCCTATCAGACAAGGCAGACCACACTGGTAAACAAAGGCATAAAAATTACGCCCTTTAAGCGCATACATCGTTTTATGCCCTTGGAAAGGGCGTAAATGGTGTAGGATTTTTAATCAAAATTTAAATGCCCTTCCAATCGGCATTAACGATTTACGCCGCTCCTGGGGCGTAAATCTTTTACGCCTTTAAAGGGCATAATTTTAATGCCACAATTTTTCGAACTCAGTTGCTGGTTTGTCCTACCTTGTACTGCAGTTGGTAGAAAACAACACTACCGAGTCCGTTTGTGCTGTCAATGGTTGTTGGGAAAGAACCTTTGACGGTAGTGGAGCCGACCTCATGGATATCCGGAGCGTTGGCAAGATGCCGAAGCGGAATGTCTACACGCAGAAGAGAGGTTAGGGAAAGCTGATTATTTTTACATTTTATTCTAAAAGTGCATATTGACTTATCAGTTTTTCTACGGAGTCTCGCATGCACTAAGAATCAAATATAAATCTGAATCTGAACTGTCTCACCGAAAATGGGTTATAGTACAATGCATCACCGAAAAAGGTCGTACACTAATGTATCACCGAAACAGATGTCGTACAATGTATCACCGAATCGGATAATACTTCCACAGGAAAGCAACAGCAAATCTCGCTGATGTCTGATCTTTCTTTAGGTGATACATTTAGGTGACCCCTTTTTCGGTGATACTTTATGTATCGCCGAAAATTGGTGAGATGTTTAACCCTTTGAATTTCAGTAATTGGACTTTGGTTGAGTGATATCCATTCTCCTATGAAAATTAAACCGTAACAGGGGTCAAGTTACGTTCCTTCCCTCTAGAAAGCTTGCAAAGGAAAGAACTTGACAGTGGAGTAAGTACTTATTCCCCGGCTTTGCATTACACACCCTTACAAATACGAACTGTTTTGCGAAGAAGTATTTGAAAAGTTACAAAGAAAAAAGTTGGTAAGACGAGAAGCCATGGTTTGAACGTTGCAAAGCGTTTTTTCTTTGCAATTTGAAAAGAAATACTTCTCCATGCAAAGAAAACAGTTTGCGAAGGACTTCGCAATGCAATGCCGGAGAACACTTTGCAAGGATTTTTGAGTGTCTATCCACGTGGACTTTCTATTAAGAGTACAATAATTTTGGTGTAATGATTTGAAGCATTCTTGAGCACAATATTAAAATGAGAACTCAAATTGGAGATAAGGCAGGATACTCCCTCCTTCTAATTCCTGGACCATGATAGTTGATGCAGGGTGCATGCGAAAAATAACAAGACGCAAGAAAAGGCATTGAAACTTGTGAGAGCGCCCTATAATCAATTTACAAATGAAAGAAGTGGAACGTACATTTCTGACAGAAGGGGCGCACGTAGCCAGGCCGGCAATCCTCGGGACAGTGGCCCGTTACAGGGTCGCAAACGTCGCCGTATTTACATTGACCACATGTCTGAGTACAGTTTGCGCCGTAGAGTCCCGGCCCACATACTGAAATCACAAATACATATTTTCAGGAGGTTAAAAGTGACCTGCAGTGTGAAAGTGACAAGAAGTTTCTGTAACAGCAGCTATTCAGGTACAAGATTTGCTGCACTTCTTCACAATCCATCTCGTAACCGAAACTTCAATTGTTACATAACTGTAAACAATTATGATTGTGAATAGCCGCCAAAAGAAATCATATTCCATAGTTTGAGAGACGGCGCATTTACCTTGATCGCATGTAGGTCCTTTGAAACCAGCTGCACACGTGCAATTGCTGTGGCAGAAAGCCACACCCTTGCAGCCCTGGGGCTTCCCCGTACATGCCAACTCGCAGTTGTCTCCGTACTTGTCCCACCCACATGCTGCAACAGTACTCGTGCAACAAATTTGAGAGATTCAACAAAATTTTGATTCAAAGTAATATTTTCTCTATAGAATATATTAAACCTCCCGAAACGAACATTCTTGTTTGGTGATGTATTTACTTCGTCTAAATAATGACAAAAACAATCTAAACAGCACAAATATTTGTCTCTAAAGGGGCAGCAAGGGAGGCAACCAGCCTACGAAACGTGTCTGCATAGACAACGGTAAGACGCCTCGCATCTAAAAGTAAAGACAATTAATATTGCAAAAGCTCAAAAGAATTTGCGATAAGATTTCACGTTTCCCTATCTGAAGGCCGATCCCGCTGACAACAAACCTTTGAGACGTTCCTTGCACAAAACGTTAATTCCACTTGAGAGCTAACGTACCATCCTCGCACGTTGGACCTCCGAATCCTGGCGGACATGCGCACGATCCCGTTGCACTATTTTCACGAAAACCACCATTATTGCAGATTTGAGTAGCAGCATCTAGTGGTGAGAGCAGAAACGAAGCATGAGAACCCTCCAAAGACGATAACGAAGAAAACAGAGAGAAAAAAAGGGGAAACTCGGCTTGCATAAGACGCTTTCGCTCGTCACTGATTGCACGGTAAAAACGGTTCCTTGTTTTCCCAGGAACTCGCTGGATATTGCCTACGTATTTACCATAGACTTCCTAGGAAAACCACGAACCGTTTAGGCGACGAGCGAAAGGGTCCGCCATATTGCCTTGCCAAGTCAGCTTGGTGAACCCTCGTTGTTTGTCCTTGAGTCATCCCCACGCTCTAAATGTCTTACAATGAAATTTGACCTATATTATTCGTATGTTACAGTGAATTCGGCGCAAGCATGATACGAAGCAATATTCCTTCGCAATACGAATCTTTTGTAAGACACAAAGAAAAACCTTCGTAATACGAAGAAAAACCACCTTCGTATTATGCTTGCGCCACTTCCTTCGTCTTATGGGAAAGTTCTTCGTTAGACATTTAGGAGGTGCATTAGTGAACCTCCTCACCACCTTGGCCCCGGCCAGGTCCCGCTGGAAGGCCGCCGCCTGGCGCTGACCCTTTTCAGGGAGCGGGATTACACGGTAAAAACGGTACCTGGTTTTCCCAGGAGCCCTATGGCGAAGACATAGGCGATTTCCAGGGGTTTCCTGAGAAAACCAGAAACCGTTTTTACCGTGTACGGCGGGAAACGACCACCGTCCCTCGATGTTTGTCCGCTGGAACTCCCGACGCCGGGACAAATAACTAGGGCTCACTGTTTTAAGTCACGTTTTCCTCTTTTTAGCAGATGATACCTTTACCCAAAACATACCTCAAACTACAACTAAAAGATACATAAAGGTGTCAGCTAGCTTTTACTCGAGAGTCCAAAAACCAAGTGCGTATCCTAACAATATAATAGGGGCTGGCTGCCGGGGCGGGCTGGTGCGCGGAATTCGACAATCACTCCCCGGGCCGGGCGTAAACAATGGCACCCCCTCCTCGCGCGCGACGGCCTGCGCGCAACATTGACAATCCCTCCCCGATTCAGCCCAGAGGCACAGGGTGCTCGCAATCCAACGGGCACGGCGCGGCGGTGCAGGTCAGGGAACAAAAGACTCAGTTTAGACTGAGTTTTAACTGAATTTTAAATACTATATTTGGAATGAGCCCATACTATTCCGTAGAAGAAAACCGAACGAGTCATCTGCTTTCATTAACGTTCGTTGAATGAGATTTTTTTCAGCTGAAGGAATTAAGAGCCAGCGAAACAAACGAAGTTTTTTCCCCAAACACGCCAGAACCATAACAACAATAAGTTCGCATAGCCCTATCGATATTTTGACTAAGAATCTACACGCTAGCATTTCGAAAATTTGTTGTCACTTCAATAACAATGTCAGCACGAACACTGAGAATGAAAGAGTCTTGATCAATACCAAATTTTGGGCTAGGTATACTTTATTGGCTGAGCGATAGCGAAGCCCGTTACTCCAGTGCGGTTGAAAAGTTTTGTCTGTCTGTCTGTGTGTCCGTGTGTGTGTGTGTGTGTACACTACTCCTCCTGAACGGCTCGGCCGATCTGGCTGAGATTTTGCAGGCTTATTAGGTATGTTCTTGGCTCGGCACACGCGAAATTTCACTATCCTAGCTCAACTGGTTCAGTTTTTATAACCGAAAAACACCTAAAAAACGGCGAAAAATCGAGTTTTTTGCAGGTAGATCACCTCTGTCTCCAAGAAAGGGGGGTCTGGGGGCGGAGCCCCCCCAGCCTCGACAAGTTAAAAAAGTTACAAGGGTCCCCGGGTGGAAGGATCTGCAGTTTAAACTACATTGAAAAAATATAGATTTTTTGTAATGTTAAACTTAATTTTTAAATACTTTTTTTCATACTTTAAATTACTTTAATGTATTGTATAATTGCAGGTAAAGTGTAGTTCAACTACAGATGAAGTGTAGTAAACTACAATTAAACTGCAAAAAAAGTACCAGTTATTTCGGACAACTATAGTTTTTGACCCAGGTTGTCCTAGTCTTCAGATCAGTTAACTATAGTTCAAAGTACAGTTATACTGTAGTTTAGTTACACAGCCAGAGTTAGTTCAAAGGAGAAGACAATCTGCAGTTTGAAATTTTGGTTCAAAATTCAAAATTTTTAATTTTTGAACCCTGATTTGAGGGTACTTTTCCTCCCTCTGACCCCTTAGGTGGTTGACTTTGTGTTAATTGTGTTTTGTGATTGGATGTTGCCGAGAGTTGAACCTCGGACCCATGACTTGTGAAGCAGAGGCCTTGACCACTGCTCCACTGAGCTTCCTTGTGGGTAGGGGCTTGGCTACTCGACCACATGGAAAGGCCGGCTTTCCTCAGGAACTAGAATTTAACTGCTAGAAAACTACAGTTTAACTGTAAGCCACTCTGTACTAGGAGTGAAATTCACTTGTCCTAAATGTAATTTATAATGAATTTGTCTCAGAAACCAAGACACCATGGAGTGATTTAATTCAGAGAGCCTTCAAGGTCTTAATTTTCAACGACTGGAGTCGTTCCCTTTTTAACTTCTGAGACGCACTGTCCTATAATGCTTTCTAGTTTTATTTGTCTGACATTTTATCATCCAGTCATAATGAATTTGATGCCACTTAGTTTGACCTTGTTTGGCGACAAGCTGGCTAAATTTTGTGGCTTGTTGATTTCCACGATACTTTGTCACATGCTACCTGACCAATACGGAACATTATAAAATAAGCAAACAGATAACCAGATAGTATTTTAAGAATTGGTTACATCCAGCCATATGAAAGTTTAGTCGTGTCTTCTAAAAGTCTGCAACGTCAAGTATTTCAACGTAAACCTGTAAAAGAAATAACTGAAACTTCTAAGAGATATTTCCTTTTCAATCCTTATATTATTTCAATCACTCAATGTAATTGTTTTTGTTTCTTCATTTCAAGTTGCAGTGCTTGACATCTTAAACTATGCCTTAATCGAAAAATTACTACAAATTGTAGTAAACATTCAACTAGTTTGTCATTGTGTAAAAAGGTATGAGCAGAAACTTTATTTCCTTTGTAGATCCTGCTGCAGATATAAGTGTAGGCGGATCTTCAGTAGTGGACTATTAAAGTAGAGTAGTATTAAAAAACTTTTAACTTCACTTTTTAACTACAGATAGTACTTAATACCTGGTCAATAAATAGCAGTTCAGTTAGAAAGCAGTTTGCATACACAGCAAACTACAGATCCATAAGCAAACTGAAACTGGACTTATTCTGCACTTTGTTCTTACCAAAAACTGCAGTTCAGGAACTGTAGTTTTGCCACTATAGTTTAAACTGCAGTTTCACTACAGATCCTTCCACCCGGGTCAAGATCGTGTAATCTGTAGATGAAGCATCTCTATCGAGAATGAAGGGGGGTATGAAGCACGTAAGAAGTAACCGACGATGGACAAGCCAATGCCTGCCGAAGGCAGGCTAGCGCCGCAGGCCAAGGTAGGTACGCCAGGCGCGGATTGGCGGGACAGGCCGCGAGACATCGCGAAGCCTGTTACGACAAGACGCGGTCTGGCGTAAACCTACCTTGTCAACCGAACTTGGGCGAGGAAGGATTATTGCCCAAATTTGGGTGAGGAAGGATTATCGCCCAAATTTGGGTGAGGATACCTTCCTCGCCCTAAGTTGGGTGGTAAAGAATTCCTCACCCTAAATTTTAGTCTAGATCATGACTCTTTCATTCTCAGTGAAGTGATAACATTTCATCAGAGCTCCTATTGTTATTCCAGGGGCGTGCACTGAGAAAACCTTACAAATTATTTTGGGTCTTACAAAGAAAAGTAGTTTGTATAACAAAGTATTTTGAGCATACGTAAGCTTACAAAGAAAATACTTCGTAATTTACGAACCATTTCTTCGTACAACAAAGTATTTTAGTTTGTTATATGTATATTCAAAATACTTCGTAAGGTTTTAAGAGTGTGACAACTACGTCATCGAACATTTTGATACATCCTATTATCAAAATAGGATGTATCAAAATGTTCGATGACGTAGTTGTCACGCCCCTGGAATAAGCCTTGAAATTGTTTACAAGTGACAACCAAAATTTTCGCAGTGCGGAAGGCCCACTTAAAACCCCAAGCGCGATCTTTTCCAACGGGCCCATTTAGCCGGCTAGGGTACCAAACTTTATCATTTGGGGCGGATAAAAGTTAAGCCGTTCGAAAGTTCGAACATGACTTTAAAACGCAACGCTCTAAAGGGGCTTTCTTTATGTTTCTCAATTGGGACATTCCATGTGAAGTCAACCAGGCCTTAGCCACCATGGGCTCCGATCCGGTTCTCGTTTTCAGGGTTTGTTACCCCTATGGTCCTATGAAATAATCGGCACTCGGTTTGGGGTCCGGCCCCCCAGGGGCTAGGCTATGGCCAATTTACTTTTTTGCTAAATATTGAAACAACGCAACTTTGGAGGACGATATCTCAGCAACCATTGGTCGTAGTTCAAATCCAAGACCAGATTTGGAAAGAGAATGAAAAACTAAATCTTTTTTGTCTTTGAAGTTTTTATGTCCAAAAACTTTTTATAAGTTAAAAACTTTAGTGAAGTTTTAAAATTAGCGCCATTTCCTAGATCCTCAACCGATTTAGACCAATCTGGGCTTAAAAGATAGCTTAAACCCTTCCCTAAACGAAAATGTTAACCAAAAAATGTGTTCGGCTTCGTTTCCGAGAACGAGCCATTTTCGTGAACCCCTGCAACCACGTATTTCACCAAATTGGAGTGACGGCCGCACTCGATACCACACTGGACGCTCTCTTAGGTGTTTTCGGCTCAAAGCAAGTTTCCTGGTTGCTTTTCTAAGGTCAGGGGACCCAAGCGCCTGTCTGGTAGGCCAACAACAAGCAGACCTGCAACGCACTAGTGATGACAGGCTGGCCTACCTTGCCCCGGAAGAGTGGGACAGGCAGCGCGCTCTGGGCGATCGGACCAGTACTACAGCCCGCCACCTCGCCGTGATATCTACACGTGGGGGTGGGTGTTGTTGTTGTTAGTTATTGTTGCACGGCAGGGTAAGGGATGTTTCAGGCGTTTCAGTCAGCATTTGGGTACAAAAACATGTTTGAGTTTTCTGACGTCAGTACCAGCAGATTTGACAGCACGCTTCAACGGCATTTTAGAGTTAATCTGAAGGCATACCATAGTCAATAACATTGAAGATAGAGGTTAGTAGTGATTAAGAAGATACTTTTATTAAGCTATAGTTAAAGGAGATACTTTTCTTTAAGCTTTCCCGCAGACTTGACAGCACGCTTTAACGGCATTTTGGCATTAATCTGAAGGCATACCAAGAAGATACTTTCTTTGGCCAGCTAATTAATAGAATCTTCTTTAACACTACTAACCTCTATCTTCAATGTTATTGACTATGGTATGCCTTCAGGTTAATTCTAAAATGCCGTTGAAGCGTGCTGTCAAATCTGCTGGGACTGACGTCAGAAAACTCAAACACGTTTTTGTACCCAAATGCTGACTGAAACGCCTGAAACATCCCTTACCCTGCCGTGCAACAATAACTAACAACAACAACACCCACCCCCACGTGTAGATATCACGGCGAGGTGGCGGGCTGTAGTACTGGTCCGATCGCCCAGAGCGCGCTGCCTGTCCCACTCTTCCGGGGCAAGGTAGGCCAGCCTGTCATCACTAGTGCGTTGCAGGTCTGCTTGTTGTTGGCCTACCAGACAGGCGCTTGGGTCCCCTGACCTTAGAAAAGCAACCAGGAAACTTGCTTTGAGCCGAAAACACCTAAGAGAGCGTCCAGTGTGGTATCGAGTGCGGCCGTCACTCCAATTTGGTGAAATACGTGGTTGCAGGGGTTCACGAAAATGGCTCGTTCTCGGAAACGAAGCCGAACACATTTTTTGGTTAACATTTTCGTTTAGGGAAGGGTTTAAGCTATCTTTTAAGCCCAGATTGGTCTAAATCGGCTGAGGATCTAGGAAATGGCGCTAATTTTAAAACTTCACTAAAGTTTTTAACGTATAAAAAGTTTTTGGACATAAAAACTTCAAAGACAAAAAAGATTCAGTTTTTCATTCTCTTTCCAAATCTGGTCTTGGATTTGAACTACGACCAATGGTTGCTGAGATATCGTCCTCCAAAGTTGCGTTGTTTCAATATTTAGCAAAAAAGTAAATTGGCCATAGCCCAGCCCCTGGGGGGCCGGACCCCAAACCGAGTACCGATTATTTCATAGGACCATAGGGGTAACAAACCCTGAAAACGAGAACCGGATCGGAGCCCATGGTGGCTAAGGCCTGGTTGACTTCACATGGAATGTCCCAATTGTTTGATGAAATATATTTTTAATACTAAAAAAAACACATTCGAATTCTTTAAAGTAATGGTAAAATCCTGAGAAAAAAATTAATGGTCTGTGCACATTCTCAAGCCACTAGGCCGAACCCTTCCCCTGCTTTTATCTGTGCAAAATATACTTTAGTGGACTGCTCTGCAGAATGTCGAATTGGTACTTTCAAAAACTTGTGGGCAGGTTCCTCTATTCCAGTGGCACAATCTTGATTCCTTTAAAGCGCTGTTACCTGGAGCATCGGTACTTGAAGGTAAATGTTTTGCATTCCATTGGGTAGGAACTCTCTCTGAAAAGAAAAAAGTAGAAAGACAATCATAAGAGGCTTCTCATCGATGGCTGTCTACCAACTACCAACTAAATTCCGATTCTTGAGGCATCCATTAGAAAAAGACAGGGACAGTAAACTACATAGATTAATTCCTACAAAGAACTGCTCTTGGTTACATAGAAAACGGCGGCTTCGCAGCCTGCGAAGGAAATCTTTTGTAATACGAACAATTGTAGTACAAAGGAAAAATCCTTCGCAGGCTGCGAAGAAGTTCTTCGTTGCCTACGAAGAATTTTTCCTTTGTATTTCAAAGAAAATCGTTCGTATTACAAACGATTTCCTTCTCAGGCTGCGAAGCCGCCGTTTTCTTTGTATTACAAAGAGCACTGAGAAAACCTTACAAACTATTTTGGGCCTTACAAAGAAAAGCAGTTTGTATATTGCGCACCATAAACCACAGGAAAGAAAAAGAACACACACAATTTTCATCTGAAGTTGAGCCAACCTGACAAGAAATTTGCACTTATTCGCAAATTGCAAGGATTAAAACTGCATCCACTATTTGACTGTGTGGTAATGCGCACGTCAAAGCCGATAGGACACGTCAGTCGAATGGCGAAAGGTTCAGTGCCATATGGCACATCCGTCGTGGTGTTCAGCGTGAAATCCATGCCAGGTTCCCTTACGTAGGTTTTTAGTGTGTAGTGCTGCAAGAAAGGAGAGTTAGTTTCAGAAAAGGGTTACTACATACACTCCCAAGATCCTACTGAGCTTTTTCTTCGTAATACGCCCAGTCCAAAAAAACCATGGATTGCATGGGATCCCATGACGCAAATTCCATGACAGCGCATTGAAATCCCATGAGACCGCGGTTCAGCACCATGGACAAGCGGCATGCCATGAAAAATGGAGGTCGTTTCCCATGGTGCAGGCTGATCATCATGGGAGGGCCTTCCCCATGATGTAAACTTTTCCATAGGTTCGGACTTCCCATGGGAAGGCAGTCCTGCTCGTGCGTTGAAGTATCCGCCTAATTTTCAATTAAAGGTCATATCATCTCAACGGTGCCCTCCAGACAAAATATGATTGCAAAATCGGATGTAGCGTCAAAAGTTTAGAGGATAACAGCTCATAAAAATCATGTACCTGAACATTCTCATCATGTTGTACTCGCAAGAGACTCTGCCAAGGCAACAAAGTGCCTCCCATGACTCACACTGCATGGTACCTTTCCCCATGGGTCGCTAGACACCATGAGAAGTTGTTCCAAAAATCACGCGGAATCGTTCCCATGGAAAGAATCGGCCCATGGCATCCCATGCACCACCATGGTAGTAACGTATGGTGAGGAGTTCTCAGTAACTTATGACCAGTTTCTTAGTATTACAAACAAATTTCTTTGTATTAGGATAGATTTGTGTCGTAGAGTACTGAGAATTAGCTTAGTATTATGACAGCACGGCATTTCTCAGTAGGAAATTGGGAGTGTACATCGAAAAGCCCCAATCGGGACTTAGGATTGAGGAAGGGGGCAATGGCACTCAGGTAGCCGCTCAGGGGTCGGCAAAACGCCTCACTTTGTCCCAGCAAGTAGGCCAAAAGTGCCACTCAAAACCGTTTTAAATCCGCCACTGTATTGACAAAACCAGGTGCTGACAATTGCGACCTGCTGAAATGGCACTGCACCGCAGTTGATTTGAACCGATATCACCTGATGTGTGGCAGGTATGGTCTAGACTTCCTTTCCGCTCTCCCTGTAGAATTATCCGTTAATTAGTTAAGATAGTCTCCCGTGCGGCCACGTGTGGCGCTCGAGTTAGGATTGTTTCCTAGCACCCAGAGGTGACAGGATGATTGTTGAGGGTCCGAGAGAAAACTCTTCACTGGTAGAATGATTTTCCCGGGAGGAGTGGAGCTGACCTTGGGCCACCGATACCGATTACTGCCTTTTTAAGAAACTTAGGAAAGTTACTCTTACCTCGCCGCAACCATCTTCAGATCTAGCAATAAGGAGAGTCCGGTGGTAATACTGTGAACCGACGAAAATCCAGTTGTGGGCACCGCACCTGCTGTAAATTCCACTAACAGACTCAAATATTCCATCGCATGGGGCCTCTGAAAACAGAAAACACAGAGGGAGATTACTCCAAAAACCGAGAGGTTAAATGATCCATGAAGCGGAAGAAGGGGTAACTCAATTCTCATCGGTTTTCAGGAGAAAGAAAGAACTGTTTACAGGGAAAATTTAAACCTAATTATGCAAATGGAATTTTGTAAAAAGAAAGCAAGGGAGGGTGGGGATTTATGCCCACCACTTTGTACCTGCACCCCTGTGGTTCGAATGGTTGAATTTCCGGCAAGATGGACTCCTCTGGAACTCTAAAGTCATCTTCCACCCATTGAAAATTGTCTGCGATGTTCAGCGGGATCACGAGCACATTGGAAAATGAAAAGTGAAATGGTGATGGTCCCCACACGGGATACCGTGACCATTCCGCAGTGCCCCATGACAGAGCTGTGCAAACCCATCCGTCTGTATCCGCATCTATCCGCACGGTCCAGGGCGATCCGGCCAGGCGGTGGCTGTACGAAGTGTGGCCGGCCGACCGGGCGGTTGGCGCACCGGCCGCCGCCTTACGGATACTTGCGGATGCTTGCGGATGGATACGTCACGCCGTCGCCGCCCCGTCGCCGCCCCCTCCCCGCCCCGCTCGCCTGCTGCCTGCCGCTTGCCAGGAGAGGAGTGGGGGGTTGCGGATGATGCGGATGGAACGGATAAGGCGGGCGGATAGTGGCGGATCGGATGCGTGCGGTTCGGATAAGACGAATCCGCCCGCAGTCTGGCGGCGGATGGGAACGGGCGTCGACGGATGGATTTGCACAGCTCTGCCCCATGACCAATAGTATTATTTTTGAGCCCAAGAAGTGTGCTTTTCACCAGAATTCTCTTCTCATTGAGATTTTTTCTTTGGCTGTCTTTGCGATCACGCCAGTCGCCTCAACCAAGTAAGAAAAACCTCTATAAACGTTCAAAGCTTAAGGGGGGACCCTGGTGAAAAAATCGCCAAAATTCCAAAAAATAGTATTTTCAAAGTTCATAGATAAAAATGTGCATTGAAGGTTTCAAATTCAACAGGTTGAACACCTTTCAGCTAAGTGGGTAGTTTCTTTATCATTTGGAAGGAAATAACATTGAGATCAGTTGTCGTTGGTTTCTACGCTCAACTTCACAGCTTTGCTCAGTCGACAAAAAATTTTGTCGTAGAAAGACTTCCTGCGTTCCTGGTTGACACCTACATGAGTCGTCTTGCATGGACTCTATTTATTGATGACTTGTCGACAAATTTTAGTGACGGAATCTTGATATCAGCCCTACTTTTTTTTAAACACACCTGAAAGTTTGAAAAAAGGGAAAAAAATCATTTTTTTTAAATGTTGAAATTTGAAAACTCATATCTCAGGACAGAAGTTGAATTTGAAAATTCCGTCACTAAAATTTCTTCTATACATCTTTAGGATAACCCAAAAAAATTTTCAAGATTTTCCGTCCCAATGAAAGACGCAGGAAGATTTTTCCCCAACGCTCCAAAAAACACTAAAAAGCCACTTTTCTCAGAGACCGTTCAACATTTTGGATTGAATTTTGTTTTGGGAACTCACCATAATGAACCTCATAATTAAGCAAAGTTTGAACTTCCTGGGATTATTTTGAAGCCCACTTGAAAGTTTCACCAGGGTCCCCCCTTAACACGTTCCAAGATGCTTCAACATGGACGCCGCCGGCCCCCGTAAACGCCGCTGGGGATGAAACCTCAGCGACCCCGCCCGGGACACACACGCTGAGTGAGAGTAACAGTGACTATTGCCCCCACTACAAATTCAAAGGTCAGACTTCTCGCCACTCCGGAGGCGAGACATGAAAGTCTCGCCAAGTTTTGGTCAGTCCGGAAAGTCTCGCCAAAATTTGGTCAGACAAAAAAGTCTCGCCACAAAACGGCGAGACTTTTGTGTCTGACCGTTTCATGGCGAGACTTGTTTGTCTGACCAAATTTTGGCGAGACTTACAGGTCTGACCGAAGTCTTTTCATCCAATTTGCAGTGCCTGTGAGGAGCCGCCCGTAGAAATAATAAACATGTGCACGACCCAATCCAGTTGCTTAACAGTCAACTCAGTCGTGCGTGCGCAGCGGGGTGTGGCTCTCTTTGGAGCTGCATTTCCGCGGAGTAAAGGTCCCCTGTGTTGCCCAAGGTTGCCCATCAACCTCGCTAAGTAATAGTGGAAGGCTCATGCTTGACTGAGCCGTTGTTAAAAGTCCTCCCTGAACCTAAACCTATGCAGAAAAAAGTACATAGTAAATTAGTGTGCTCTAGAGGCCTTGCTAGTCCGAGCTCTCTCATTCCAAGTATACGCGACATTGAAACGATCGTGACAAAATATCACGTTCGTTTGAGCATTGTGTCACATTCGTTTGAACGTGAACAAGCTAATTTTTGGCCGATTCACATCCAAACGAATGTGACACAATGCTCAAACGAACGTGACACTTTGTCGCAAAATTCAGGTTCTTTCAAAAGCTTGAGAAAACAACAAAAAGAATCGTAAATGAAGTGGCCTCCCTCCTTAAAATAAGATGAAGACGAAAAAGCGGTCCGCGGGGCTGCGTGTGCCAAGCGTACCGAAGAAAACGTCTCAAAGGAGTCATCTGTCCCCTTGCAGTGCCTTCTTCCCCTTCACGAACCTGAAATTGCTTTAGCCAAGCCGCAGAGAAGGAGGGGTGCTGTCACAAACACGAAGATATTGCGACCCATGATGTGACCTGGGGCTCCACCAGGCTCCACACTGGAACAAGCGCGGAGACGGACTGGGCCCAGCCCGGGACGCATCAGAAATGTGCGGAGTAGGGCAAGTGAAGCTTATCGTTGAGGTTATTTTCAGACGTGCTCGTGTGCGTTTATCATCTGTCCGTGACTCGTGGAGGAAAACAGCGTATTCCCCGTCTGGAGATACAGAAACAATGTTGCGGAGGCTGCGCTGCTCGGGAGTGTGAAAGGAGCATAAATGAGATAACGCTCTGCCTGCCGCCTGGAGATTGTCAGGGAATGTTTAAGGGGGGACCCTGGTGAAAAAATCGCCAAAATTCCAAAAAATAGCATTTTCAAAGTTCATAGATAAAAATGGGCATAGAAGGTTTCAGATTCAACAGGTTGGACACCTTTAAGCTAAGTGGGTAGTTTTTTTATCATTTGGAAGGAAATAACATTGAGATCAGTTGTCGTTGGCTTCTACGCTTAAGGGGGCACACCAGTGAAAATCGTCAAATTTTCGCCCTCTGTTTTATTTATCCTTTTTTTCTGCTACTCATCCCAAGTCAAATGCCGCAAACCCCACCTCGAAATTCCAATTACTTTGGCTTGGCACATTTTTGTAGGTCCCAAAAAAGGTAACTTTTTTGGCATATTTCACCTAAATTGTTAACGTTCAGGTGATTCACTTGAAGTCCAATGAAAAAACCCCCGGGCCATCCAATCGCAGTTGGAAAAGAAATGTTTTGGCGCAAACCGAACTCAAATATGCCATCAATTGCGTCCGTAATCGGGAAAAACGCGTGTAAACCGTTGTTTAACTTAAAACGTCATTTTCTCGAAACACCATTTTTGGACCTGGTGCCCACGATTGCGGGCGCTAAAATTGAGATATTTGAGTGCGGTTTGCGGCAAACGTTCCTTAAACTTGCCGCTATCGTGTGAACCTCGGAAATGGTCGTAGCAGTAAGGGCCTGAGCTACAGACACGAAAAGTGAAAAATATGGTCAAAAAATGAGTTTCTATTTTTGCTTCTAAAAAAAAACATATTTGGGATTGTGTTTTCGACATGTCCGTGGTTCACACGATAGCCACATGTGCCCTGATGAGAATTTTGAAACCCTGTTTTAGGCTCAATCGAGGGCTTCACAAAGTTGGGAAAAGTGGAGCCGTGTCACCGAAAAATGACGATGGCGCCACCCCCCCTTCCCGTCACCCCCCCTGGCTGACGTGTACTTTTTTGGTTAAATTGACTATTTTATAGTTCAGAAAAAAATTTAAACCCCATACCTTCTTTACTTTACTCAGAATAACGTTTTTACGAAGCCTCTGCTTTTTCACTGGTGTGCCCCCTTAACTTCACAGCTTTGCTCAGTCGACAAAAAATTTTGTCGTAGAAAGACTTCCTGCGTTCCTGGTTGACACCTACATGAGTCGTCTTGCATGGACTCTATTCATTGATGACTTGTCGACAAATTTTAGTGACGGAATCTTGATATCAGCTCTACTTTTTTTAAAACACACCTAAAAGTTTGAAAAAAGGGAAAAAAATCCCTTTTTTTTAAATGTTGAAATTTGAAAACTCATATCTCAGGACAGAAGTTGAATTTGAAAATTCCGTCACTAAAATCTCTTCTATACATCTTTAGGATAACCCAAAAAAATTTTCAAGACTTTCCGTCCCAATGAAAGACGCAGGAAGATTTTTCCCAAACGCTCCAAAAAACACTAAAAAGCCACTTTTCTCAGAGACCGTTCAACATTTTGGATTGAATTCTGTTTTGGGAACTCACCATAATGAACCTCATAATTAAGCAAAGTTTGAACTTCCTGGGATTATTTTGAAGCCTACTTGAAAGTTTCACCAGGGTCCCCCCTTAAAAAAGGGGGGCACGGAACATTTGTGACATTTTATGTCCGAAAACAAATGAACCGCACGAAAATTGTGTGAAAGACAGCCATTTAGTGGAACTTAGGGAATCTTAACTTTGATGAGACCGAGCTTTCTCTGATTCTAACAGAGAAAAATGGGAAGTCTCTACCTCACTGACAACGTGAACTAAGTTCTATGATCGACAACAGTGTCAATTGTAGCATCTCCACCGTCTGAAGTGCATTGCTGAGATTTTGGACGAAACCCTCTACTACTTATGGATATGACGTGACCCAAGTTTAGGCTCAATCGCCAATTGTCCATGCTGACCGACGCAAGTGTGAATTAGTGGCCTATCTGATTGTAAGCGTATCTCGCCACTGCCCACACGGGATAGGCACTCGAGCATCCTACCAATGCTGAATTCCTCCGAAAATCACGTAGGTACAGGTGAAAAAAAATGGCGTACTAATTGTTCCCGGACAGTCCGTCAACGGTTTACGCCTCTGCAACGAGGGTGAATTGTTTTGAGCAAATGGGAGAAAATTGATTCAGGACTTCTCTGCAAAATGTCAAAGCCCTTCCAAGAGGGAACATCCTTTTTACCCCCTTGAAGGGTGCCAAAGACAGTTTTACTCTGATGATCTTTCCATGTCTTAGTTTCCTGACTTTGTTCGCTGATTCGCTGCAGTGAATTGCGAGATGCACTTTTGTTTGTCCCGATCATTGCCTCACTTCCGATCAGGACCTAATCCGAGGCTGCTGTGTCCTGATAGGAAGTTCGAGCGTCCCCTGGCTCGGGCTGCGACGAGATACGATCACGGTCCGATAGGCGGAAACGCCTCGAGCAAACAAATGATGATTGGCGTAGTCAGGTGTTAATGCTATTTTAGATGCACGTGCGTACATTTTCTTTATACGTCTTCTCCACACTGAATTCTTATGGACTTTTTTATGCATAGTTATGCATGCACAGATACGTCCATATGTTATGTATAATATTATGCATCACTGTGTACATTTTATGCAGGAAGACGCATAAAATGTGCACAGTGATGCATAATTTTATACATACCTTATGGACGTTTCTGCGCATGCATAACTATGCATAAAAAATGCGTCCTTATGCATTTAAAAAGTCCATAAGAATTTAGTGTGTCTGAACTACGTCAAACCGTTCGGCACGAAGACATTTGACGCAATCAAAGGAAAATTAAATACGATTGCTGTCTTTTGAGGAATATGGTTTGAAGTTTAAATTAAGTCCCTAAGGGTTTTCTTTATAGAACTAAAAAAAAGGGTGCTCGTGAGATCATTCATTGGAATACAAGTTCTCTGATTATGAAGTTAAGGATCGAACCTTGTTGAGCACCTGCAGGTGTCGAGCACGAGTATAGCACTGCTTTTAGCATTCGAATCTGATGACTTTCAAAATGTAATCTCCATGAATCGTTGATCCCCACATGCAATGAATCTTTGCACAGTATTGTGAAATCCTGAAATTCTGAATCATTACAAAAACCTGCTATGATGACATAAAATCTGCAGTTAACTCACGTCAGTTTCTGGAGAAGGTCACTAAAGGGGCTAGTCGGGGAAGAAAATTTCAAGGAAACCAACGTTCACCTTCGGGCTGCGGAGATCTTGCATCCATTTAACAAGGATTTCACTCGAAGATTTTCAGAATTTTTCGGAGGGATGGCTCAAAGCCAAGATATCAGCCCCGATAGGATGCACTTTCCTTACCCCTACAAACTGTATCTCATGCTTCAGGTTGGAGACTGCCGGTGGATCCAGAGGTGACCTTTGTTTAGGGGTTCCGACGAAGGAGAACCCGTCTTGTTTTCGACGGGTCCGCTTCCTCATTGTTAATCTTTTGACCGATTTATAAGAACTGTAGCAGCCAAATTATTCTTAGCCACAAAACAAATGCACATAGTGGAAATTCGTTGAAATTTATCGTGAAAATTTTGCGCAATCGATAGGAACATAAAACTTTAACAATCGATCTCTCCCTTAAACGTTCGTTTTACCGAAAAACGTTTTAAAGACAAAATGCGCGTCTCTGAAATAAAATCAAAGTTCATACTCATCTACGTTGTTTATACTCATCTGCTGCTTGCATACTTGTCTACGTTAGGCTCAAATGGAGAAACACGAATAAATTGGGTAGTGTAACGAATCCCTGGAGCGGAAGTCAAAGATCAAGAGAGAGAAGTAAAACCACTTCTGCGCTTTTTGCACCTGAAGCATTTTGTGGACACACTTGAGTTTTCGGAGCATTGCAAAAATGTGCGATACTAAAATTCATTTCATCATAGCATTCACCCTGCAAATTTTAAAGCGTGTCTGTCAGCAGGTGTGCAGCAAACACGTGAGTGCCTGTCCACTGCAAGTAAAAACCACAACAAAGGTACACAAATTACTGGCATTTTTTTTTGTCAGGATTTAATTGTACTTTCAAAGTAAAATAATTGTTGTACAAAGTACAATGGAACCGGCATGACGAGTGCTGGGCCGTCCAGGCCTCGTTGTGGTTTGTACAATTCTCGTTGAACTTTATACAATCCGTGTTGTACAGTTTTTGTTGTACTGTTGTTGTACTATTCACACTTTTTCTTGCAGTGTCAGGCATTCAAGAAATGAGTGCGTACCTTGCCCAGTGCGTGCTCGCCTCTGCCTCACACTTGAGTCTGCAGAGCACCTGTGTCTTGAGGCGTGTATTCCAAGAAACGTGAGGTCTGTATCGCAAGTGGGAGTACAGTGCAGTGTGAAACTTGGTTTATCGATGCACTTCAACTTATACAGGGTGAGTTTTTCCGATGTGTCTATAATTTCTAGGAAGCTTAGGCACCCCTAGCGAATAATTTTTCGCCAGTGAACTAGTGGGCGCAAACGTCTAGTTACTGAGATAATAAGTGTTTTGTAATTTAACCTCGCGCCCACGAGGTAGGCTCCCGCCGCCACTGAGGGTGGCGGGACCTCACGAGTGGGTGTCATGGGACTCGCAGTACCCGAGGGACTGCCACTGACTTCACGGAGAAACCGTGGAGTCCTGCCACCCTCGCGAAGACAGCCGCGAGATCCACTGTTACGCAGGCCACCACGACAGCCACTGGAGACCCTCGGCAACCCCTCTGAAATGACAATTGAAAGCTGCGCCGCACCCCTGCGACCTTCGAAACACCCCCGCTAAACCCACGACTTCCTCTCATGAGGTCTTGTGCCCTCAGTGACATCAGGTGGCTATCTGGCAGGTGCGAATGCCCATTTCTAAATATCAATTATATCCGCACCTACACGTTTGCGCCCACTAGTTCATTGGTGAAAAAAGATCCTCTCGGGCTGCCCAAGCTACCTCCAAATTATTGACACATTGAAAAAACTCACCCTGTATGACAGCGGCCGAGGGGGTAATCACTCGCTTTTTTCGTGTACAGAGAATATGAATATGTGTGAATATCCGTGAATACCAAGAATATTTTTGAATACACATATTCGTCTGAATACTAGTGAATATGAGGTAATACTGGTGAATATGTGTGAATATCATGAATATCTAATGAATATCATGAAATTTAAACCTAAAACGCGTACAATATAATGAGAAGAAATTTCTGGGACCCCCCGTCTTTACGAGAAAGAAAGTTATCGACTAATAAGACCGGTTTTAAATTTATTTTTAATCCATAATGGGATCAATCAAGGGCCCTAAAGAAGCGCTCTAACTGCCGAAAAATATTGGCGATGGCTACCCAAGACTCCATTAAACTTCAAAAACTTCCCCCAAAAATTGACAAAATGTGACCTATATTGTTCCTGCTGAATCACAGTGCATTGAAATAATTTCTACGTGTCTGCTCTGACATTATGGGGCAATTTCAGAGGTCAAGGTAACTTTGACACTACACAGTGATACGCTTTGCTTATTTTTATTGCCAAACAGGGCTCTTTGTCTCGTTGTTCATCTTTGATTTGAACGTCGGCCTATATTGCCAGGAATGCCTAGGTGTGTACTCAAATAAGTTCAAGCTCCTGAGAGTGTCAGTGTACTCGTGTGTACACGCCGAAGGGTACTGAGTACTGTTGTGATGGTACCCGAACTGGGCATTTCCAGCAGCCTCAGCAGCGGAGTGGTGGAAGGGCTGATGGTGCCAAGGAAACGCACCACCAGTTCGGGCCAGCCCCCGTCATGGTCTCGACATAGCCAACCCGTGGCAGTACGAGACGCTTTAATTTAAATTGGGGAACATGGGGATTGGGACACTCAAACGCTCGTAGGTCATCCAAACTTTATGCAAAATATCCTGAATACTATTGAATACCTATGAATACAGGTGAATACTTCAAAATATTCCGAATATGTGTGAATATCACGAATATTTTTTGAATACCTGAATACGTATGAATATTTCGGAATATCATGAATATGAATATGAATATCCCGGCGTGTACAGAGAATACTTCGAGTGAATACCCCCTCGACAGCGGCAGCGTCCGCCAACGCTCAAGCCATTTTCGCCATGAATTCGGCCGTGCTGGTCGTCGCGCTGCTGTGGCTCGGCGCCGCCCGCGCCGGCTTGGTGCTCTCCGACGACGAGAAGTACAAGTTACCGCCCAACTTCCTGTTTGGAGCGGGCACCAGTGCCGTGCAGACGGAGGGCGCCTGGGACAAAGACGGTGGGTACGGTTCAGACAACACTGCATAGTGGGCCAGAAGACCGGTGGAGGCGGCCAAAACTCTTGATGCGTTTTGAGCTCTTGAGTCGCGAAATGGGACTCGCACCGAACGAGTGACCCCACCAATGGATTGTTCTCCGAACGAGGAATCCGATCGGTGGGTCGGGTCACATGTTCGGTTCAAGTCCTGTTTAGCGGCTATACAGCTCTAAACGCGTCTTGAGTTTTAGCCGCCTCCACCGGTCTTCTTTCTGGTCCACTGTGCACCGAGCGCACTCTGAAATTTTTGCAGACCAAGGCCTTTTAAAGAAACGCAGCTTGTCACATCAAAGTATTTTGAGCATACAGAGGTTTCAAAGAAAATACTTCATAATTTACGAACTTTTTTTCGTATATCAAACTAAATGGTTGTGCAAGATTTTTAAATGTGTCGTTATTCCAGTGACAGTCATTGCAGAGCCTTAACACTGTGGCAAAAAAACTACGGAAAAGTCAATTGTTTTTAACCATGATTATCTGTAGCATCTTATCAATCTTCTCCGTAGGGCTCACAGTGTTCTCCGTAGAACTTGCAGTTTTCTACGCATTCACATTGCAGACAGTTGGTAGACCAGTTCAGTGGCCACGCCTGAAAGTAGGCAAAAAGCATGGCTTGAGCCCCTCCCCTTCACTGATATTTCTAATGTGATACGTTTCATACAATTTGCAGCGATTAAAAGGCTATTGTGATTCCTTCAAATTATCTCATCTGCGGCAGAAATAAAACTATTATCGCATTAAAAATGCAATAAGTCTCTCAATAAGCAGACCGAGAAGATTGACGGAAAATGTTAGGTTGTGTGTTTGGAGAATTATCACACGTTTTTTTACCGATTTCTCCGCAACTTTTTGCCACTGTGATTAAAGATGGGCTCGCTTCTCCAGGATTGATGAAAAATATTTTTCTCTCAACAGGGAAAGGGGAAAATGTGTTCGACCACTACTATCATACGCACAATGTGCCAACAAACGAGTCTGCTGACATTGCCTGCGACTTCTACGGACGTTACAAGGAGGACATCGCCTTAGCCTCAAAAGTTGGGGTGAGCGGCACGTTTGTGAAATTTGCTCGAAAGTGGAGGGTTCCAAGGCAGGTTGAAGAGAAAACTCATTTTCTTTGAGGCGCACTGTTAAAACGAAAATTGTCATGTGACTGACGGTGTTGACACGGTAGTGCTATGTTCCTGACATGAGCCATCAGAATGTGACGAACGCACTGTTATTGGCGAGTGATAGCGAGCCCATGCCGTGTTTGGGGGTACCAAAAAGTGACTGGTCGTGCGTCTGTCTGTCTGTCTGTCTGTAACTCACTCACGTTTCTCAGCAACTACCGCACAAATAGTTTCAAAATTTAGCACCGGAAGGCTCCTACATCTCCCCCAGGGGGAGTTTATCTTATATTCACGATTACTATTGTTTGAAATATTCAAAACATCTTTTTGAATTAGGTTCTTAGCGTGGTTAGGTTGGCAGTGGTTGGCGGCTCGTAGCAATTTTTCATACTTGCGGCCGCGACTCTCAAATACGGGACTTGGCAAAACATTGGCAAATAAAACAAACTAAAGAGCAGAAGGGCTTAGAAGTGAGTACGGTCATAGTTTTTCGATATTTTAGAATGATTGAAACCCCTCCGGAGTGTCAACTCAGTGAAACACGGAAAATGAAAGTGACAATTATTACGCGTTTCGTCCGTCCGTCCACCCCCTCCCCTCCCCCGCTACAGGGGAAATGTTTTAGTCAGTGCACTGTGTTTGATAATTGCAAGAATGATTTGGTCTTTTTAACCTTTGTGAGTGTATTTCCATTTATATTCTCAGACACTATATTTTTTAGTTGTTTGCTTTGCTCAATAACAGTTAGAAAATATATTAATACATTCTATGAGTACAAACCAGATGCTAATCTTGCCAAAATAAATAGTCTTTGCTGACTCTTGGCACTGATTCTGGGAAAAGGCTTCATTGCAATTCTGTGAGTTTACTATAGTACTAACCTTAAAGAAAACCATATGATGAGTGAGTGTAGCGCATTCAAGGTTTGACATTGACATCAGATTCAATGAGACGATTCACTGACTTGGTCATATGATTTCATGAGACGATTCTTTTAACTTAATCATACATTGTCTGCGACAACTGGTAATTTGTGTTGGTCATGGTTTGAGTTGGCTTTTTTTTTACATTCACGCAGAATGTTAGGTAAATACTTTTGCTAAACTGTTTCAAAGATTAAATAACACACCATGACTATCATTATGAATAAGATAAACTTGCATTTAGCAATAAGTGGCCTCGACATTGGATTCTATGAAACGATTCATTGGATCTGACAGAAGGTCATCTCCGCAAAGTAGTTTAAATCAGCCTGCCTGTAAATATGTTTCTTTTTAATTAATGCAGATAAATCAATATAGTTTAATCCACTAGTTTAAACTAAAAGGGAGAAAGGCTTTTTAGGTATTACTAATAACATTGCGTATTCTGAGTTCAGTAACAAGGAGATATCGAATGGTAATTGAATTATTTGTGAATCGTATTAAGCAAGTCAATGTTGGCTGTTAAATGTTACTCGACTGAGTAACAGGGTCAGGGTTCATGGCATGACACCATGAACAGGAAACGCTCTTAAAAAACCTAACAACTGAAGACCCATACTTTCAACTAGAATTACATACATGATTTAGGACCAAAATTTCCTCGGTGTTTCATTGCTTCCTGCAGTATTTGGTGTGCTGATCACAAAAATGACTTCCAATTTCATCCCCGACCTTTACTTTTCCAAATATTTACCAATTTTGGACCAAAATTTTTACATCGAGTTTTACATAGTTTCCTGCAGTTTTTGGTGTGCTGATCACGAAAATGACTTCCAATTTCATCTCAGACCTTTACTTTTCCAATTATTGACCAATTTCGGACCAAAATTTTCGCATCGAGTTTTACATAGTTTCCTGCAGTTTTTGGTATGCCGATCACGAAAATGACTTCCAATTTCATCTCAGACCTTTACTTTTCCAAATATTTACCAATTTCGGACCAAAATTTTTACATCGTGTTTTACATAGTTTCCTGCAGTTTTTTGGGGTGCTGATCACGAAAATGACTTCCAATTTCATCTCAGACCTTTACTTTTCCAATTATTGACCAATTTCGGACCAAAATTTTCGCATCGAGTTTTACATAGTTTCCTGCAGTTTTTGGTATGCCGATCACGAAAATGACTTCCAATTTCATCTCAGACCTTTACTTTTCCAAATATTTACCAATTTCGGACCAAAATTTTCGCATCGAGTTTTACATAGTTTCCTGCAGTTTTTGGTGTGCTGATCACGAAAATGACTTCCAATTTCATCGCAGACCTTTACTTTCCCCAAAAATTTAAACCCAAATTTTTGACCAAACTTTTAAAATTGAGTTTCACATTGACCCTGTATTGGCCTTACTTTGCATATATTCTTCACCATCTTCTACAAGAATACGGACGCATCGCTCGCCTACTACGCGCCCAAACAAAACGGCGCGTACCCCTAGTTTAACTAATGTGACGTCATATTTGTGAGAACGTGAACACTGTCCCGTTCGTTTTACGTCAAAGTCTCGTATGAATGTCGATCCACGTTCAAACGGATGTGACATCCTGATGAAGTGGCCGTGTCACGTTCCAACGAATGTGACGTCATTCAAACGAACATGGCAGTATGACGTCACTTTCGTTGGACATCATAGTGCGTTTGTCACTTATGTGATGGCCCGTATACGTCAATCGAGGTAAATGAAACGTTGGAGACGTCATAACGGCTCACTCCTAATCCGAAGGAGTATTGTCATAACGACTCCACTCCTTATCCGAAGGAGTATTTTGACGATACAATTGTTTCTTGCCAACTATAAGAGCGAACAAAAAAGGAAATCATCCGTTCGATAAGCAAATCACCAATGCTTTGAAGTATCGTCAACATTCGGCAAGAAACTTGGAATTGGTCATAGTTTATAGCCGAACTTTGGTGATTCGTCCAAGTATTTTCAATTTTGTCGACGATACTTGTGTTTATCGCCTCTTAAAAGGCAAGATTTGATGGCGATACGCAATTGTCTTAGAATTTAGAGTGCTGCCACAAGCAGACACTGAAAATTGAATGGCGAGACCGATGGCCGAAAGTTGGTGAGACGAAAAAGTCTCGCCATTCTGTGGCGAGGAACAAAAGTCGCACCATTCTTTTGGCGAGGAACAAAAGTCTCACCATTTTTTGGCGAGAAACAAATGTCTCACCAAAATATGGCAATAATTGACTTGGATATATTTCCCGGTATCCAATAGAGTGGGGTTGCAATTATTGCCATATTTTGGCGAGACATTTGTTTCTCGTCAAAAATTGGTCAGACTTTTGTTTCTCGCCAAAAAAAATGGTGAGACTTTTTATTTCTCGCCAAAAATAATGGTAAGACTTTTGTTTCTCGCCAAAAATAATGGTGAGACTTTTGCTTCTCGCCATAGAATGGCAAGACTTTGTTTCTTTCCCCCCAGGATGGAATGAATTCCGTCCTTTGACTTTTCAGTAGAGAAGCAAAGGAGAGTCTACATTATTACCACATTAACATGCGATTCCCATGGCTCAAACGCGATAAATTCGAGCATTTTGAGCAAGAGATGATCATGACTGATTCGTGGGGTGGCGGTCAGTGCAACTCAAACACGCAACATGCATCGCCAAAAAAGGGCATTTATATACAGAACTAAGCGGGAAGGCTTTTCTTTTCTGTGTGTGATCTTGTGTAACGAGAGTTCTTTTTGCTATCGCTTAATGTACGAGTAAGGTTTTGATGCAAACAACACCTGTAATGACAGTTGGTTTGATATTCTTCTGAGAAGCATTTATTGCCTCAGCTCTCTTGAAAGATCGTGCTTCTAGCTTGGGAGCATTCGAAGAAGCGATAACCTGCCGTATTGAATAAGGAACGAATTGTTTTCAACAAAAGAGGAATAAATAATGCTGAATTGCACTTTTCGTCTTTCCATTACAAGTAATTGACTCGTTTCCCGCCTTTCTTTTCCAGTTCAACGTTTTTCGGTTATCCTTTTCGTGGGCGAGGTTCTTCCCCGATGGCGATATGAGTCGGCCTGTCAATGCACTGGGAGTGCAACACTACCACAACGTACTAGATGAGCTTCGGAAACACAACATCGAGCCACTGGTTAGTCTTCCTCGATGCCGCAGTGGGCCAGAAGACCGTCGCAGGCGGCTGGAATTCCAGACGCGTTTCGAGTCCCAGAGTCGCTTAAGCGTTAATTAACGCGGGACTCGGACCGAACATGTCACCCCACCGATGGACTCCTCACGGGTCGCCCAGAAAAAGAAAAAACCCTTTGTATTTTTCTTTATTTTACATGAAGTTTTGTCTCCTAGGTGACGATATTTCACTTCGAATACCCTCAAGCTCTGGAGGATGCGTTCGGTGGCTGGGCGAGCGAGAAGATGGTTGACGTGTATGTAGAATATGCGGAGTTTCTTTTCAAGGAGTACGGCAGCAAGGTGAGTGAGCTGTTGAAATGTATGTTCTGAGTTGAAAAAAAAGGTCTAGGTTTATGGCTTATGGAAAGCATTGTACACGGGAAAAACGGAACCTGGTTTTCCCAGGAAGCCAATGGTGAAGGCATAGGCGATTTCCAGGGAGTTCCTGGTAAAACCAGGAACCGTTTTTATCGTGCTGAAGAATTGCTTCTAAGAAAGACTTTGCCCCGCGATACGATAGCAACTCTTCGTAGAGTTTACAATGCCTTCCTTTTCTTAGTATTTCTAAACGATGCTTCTTAGACTTTTCTGTGTTGGGGCACTGGGTTAAGTCGGGCGCCTCTAACGCCTCCCATTCATTTTTTTTTGACGCAGGTGAAATATTGGACGAGCATCAACGAGGGTGCCCTTTACTGCTCCCTGCTGGCCGATTTCATAATACCTCCCAAGACAATGAACACGGCAGAACAGCAGAACGCGTGTCTGAAGAACACCATTATAGCTCACGCTAAGGCCCACAAGATATACCACGAGAAATATAAGGCAAAGTTCAACGGTAAAGTATTAGGGTGTTCCTAGAAGTTTTATAAAAACGCTAGTGACTAGTTTCCTTGTTGCCCGCTACGCTTGCGCATCGTTGAAAAGAGCCTCTTTAGTAAACCCTTGCCACGGGATTTGGAAACGAGCGTCCAATGTAAATGCACAGTACATGTATTACGAAGAAATTTTCCATATTACGAAGAAAAGGGTGAACCAAACCAACGTTGCTTTAATTCACGTCATAGCGGTTTTTCTCTTTAACTCACAATGAAAATCCTGAAAATATTCGTTCTGCGGAGACATTTCACAATGCATAATGCTTGCGCCACTGTAACTTAGCTCATATCTCATCGGAAGAGATAAAGGGTGTGGCAGTTTGAACGACGAAACAAATTTGAGCTCAAATCTCATCTTAAGACCACTGAAAATGGAACGGTGAGACTTATGACCCTTGACGGGGTGACACTAAAATGAATAACCCAAGAAGGGTCATACTTAAATCTATGACCGAAAAGGGGCCATAGTTCGATGAACGACCAAAAAAGGGTCATAATTTTTTGTGTCACTGATAATACTTGATGGTCCAATCTAAACAAGGGCCATTTTCGCTAATGTCTGACCTATTTTCTGTCATACTTTGGAGTATCACTCTTTCACCGTCATCCATTTGTGTATAACCTTTCATCGGTTAAACTTTTTTTTATCGCAAAACATTTGTCAGATGTCTCGCCCCGCACAGTGGGCCAGAAACCGGCGGAGGCGGCCAAAATTCTAGACGCGTTTTAAGCTCCAGAGTCACTAAACGGGACTTGAACCGAACGTGTGACCGTACCAATGGATTGCTCTTCGAATGAGGAGTCCATTGGTGGGGTCACACGTTCGGTTCGAGTCCTGTTTAGCGATTCTGGAGCTCAAAACGCGTCTAGGGTTTGGGCCCACAGAGCAGAGCTGAGATTTTGACGGTACGGTTCACGCGTTGCGCCACAGGCCTGGTGGGCTACGGCGCGGGGCCACCCTTCTCTCGCGGGGCCACTCCCGAGGACGACGCGTACGCCGCGTATTCCAACGTCAACATCGGCATCGGCCTCAGCGTCGACCCTCTGGTTTTCGGCGACTACCCAGAGGCGGTGCGCGCTTCCAAAAAGCCCTTCACCGATGAGGAGAAAGAACTTATCAAAGGTATCATCGCACGCTGTTAAAACGTTTTACACTGAAAAGGAAAATTGACGCACTTCCAGATATTTATCCGACCAGACTTGGTACCCGGGCCCCTCTCGGTGCTTGTACAGAAAGGGGTACGGATCAAGCAAGTGTGGTCAAACATTTACCTGGAGAGTCCCTCGATTCTTTTTCTTCAGTGTAGTCAAATGATCCAGGAAGCGGAAGAAGGGGATAAGTCGAGTTGAAACCGTGCACTTTTGCAAAGCCTAAACCTTGCAGGTGGGAGAACTGTCATCTAAAAATAGATGCAAGAGGATGGGACTTGTCTCGCCACACTTATTTTTGGACCAAATTTTCACTCATGTTTACTTGATGGACTGAGAGGAGGTCGCTGAATCAACTCGACTTAACCCCTTCTTCCGCTTCCTGGATCAAATACTGTTCGCACTCTAAATTTGTAGGGCCTTCTTGAAAAATATTTTTCGTGTCCACCTTTTCGACTCTTTGGTTTGTTGCATCAACTTTGATATCCATAATGAAAACAACTTGCGTACTTACTTCTAAAATTGGCTGAATTCCAGGCAGGATCGATTACGTGGGCATTAACATGTTTGGCGGTCGGATCGAAAGTACATCTGGCGATATAGACAACGGTGACGACAACTTCGGCAGTACTGTAAGCGTTACTTTTCATACTTGGACGACTACACAAAAATCAGTTTTCGCCGTTAAGCCGTCTTCCATGAAAAGCAAAAACTTCTTTTACAGCATAGCCCTTGGGTACTTCGCGAAATGCCACTTTGGATCAAGAACAGATACGAGAAAGACGGCCGGAAACTGCCTGTTTTTATTACAGAGAATGGCATCGATTTAGCAGCAAGCTCGTCTCCAATAGCCGACTGGGACATTCGGGCCGTCTTCGTCAGTGTAAGTACTCTGTAGAAATGTCACCACTTTCTGCTTTCTATGTTCTTTACTCGTGTTTGAACAAAGAAGCAGAGGAATCAATGGTACATAGGGTTTCGAATGTCCGTGGTTCTTGTTTAACTCAGTAGTTTCTTTGAAGATGCAGATGTCCTGGCGTGATGCAGATAGTTCAGGGAAGGGACGCAAGGACGATTTTTTTTTTTCGTGGAGCGAATTAACCACAATCACTGAAATCGAAAGTGTAGTGAAATTACCACATTTGGCTGTGGTGAGACCAAAAGTGTGGTTACCGCATTCTACCACACGTACAAATGTGGTAAGAAGTACACTCCGTCAAATAAGTGGTGTACAATCTTATGATTTAGCCGTTACCTCTGCGTGGTCAAGACCACCCTTTTATGAGGTATGGAGGACTGACCACATATTTGCTGTGGTATTCACCATGAATTTCATGTGGTGCTTTTTCGACCACTGATTTTGAAGGGGTATTGACCGCATTTCCACGTGTGGTAAATTTGGGTAACCACAGTTTTGCGCTTACCACACATTATCTGAAGGCTGTACCACACTTCGAAGGACAGTGATGAAACCGCGCACTGATTTTCGCGAAAGGGACAAAAAAAAATTGTCATGAACGAATTGTCTTCCTGATGTTTCAGAATTATCTGCGAGAATTAATTGCTGGGATAAATGAAAACGGCACGAACGTGATCGGTTACACGCTGTGGAGCTTCATCGACACATTGGAGTTTCGCGATGGCTACAGGTAAGTGCGGCGGCGCCAACCGTAACTTATGTATACTGAACTACCTCAAAGTGCAAGCAATAAATGGGCAATGTTTTGGGTTGATACACAAACCAGATACATTCTCGGCCTTTTACTGACTGTTTCTCATTAGCAGACGCATTTCTGTAAGCGACCATAACACTTAGCAGTTTTTCTTAAAAACTATTCAAAATTTCTTTGTCTTTTACTTTGAAAACGGTACCATCAGAGCAGTAATTAGAAATCGGTAAGTTATTGCGAGAAAAATAATGAATACTGTTAGGGTTGCTTAGAAATGCGTCTGCTTATGAGAAATAGTCAGTAAAAGGCCGAGAGTGTATCGAGTAGTGGCAAGAGTACTTCACTTAAAATTAAACCTACCATATTTCCTGATTTTCCCTTATTTTTTCTCGATGTGTGTCATGATGTTATCTGTTTCTCTTCAGAATATGAAGTGAGGGATTCATTTGAAATTCAAAGTTGAAAATATTCTCTTTAGCTAGCGCTCAGTTAAGGTGCTCGGTCTTGCTGCAAGCCACTGACTTTACCGTGTTCTCACCCCAAATCATTTTTCTACAGCAAAACTGGCTTGGTGCACGTGGACTTCACGAGTCCTACACTGGACCGCACCTTGAAAGACTCCTGGACTTTCTTCAAGAGGGTTGCGAAGACTCGTGTGGTACCGCTGGTCGAGGTCGGCTCGCAACCATTCCCAGACGACGACGCTCACTCCAGCTCCACCCGCTTTAGGAGCCCAGCAGTTTGGGCCATGCCTGCTCTCTTACTGTCACTGTGGATCTAATTAATTAAAAAGCAAAAATTTCACGAATTTGATTTTGAAGCAAGCAAGGCCCGTCCCGCAGTAGGCTAGAAGGCCGGGCCTAAGTTGCCGATGTGTATCGCTACTTTTCCTGTTATTCAAAAACACATTCAAGGGAATGTTGTCAATGTACGATGACTGAGCTCAGCAAGCGACATTCAATCCTATCTAGCCACGAAATGTGTCGTGTCGAGTATCTTGTTTTCGGCGGATCTGTCTCGTAGTTTCCATCACGGCTTTGCTATCCCACATCGCCGAATGGGACTCAGGATAGCAAGAGCTCTTTACAATGCATCGCCATGTTCAGGGTGAGTTCTGTAGCTAACGGACATAACAGCGTACCTACTATAGGATTCCCTATGAACATACGTTGTTATGCCCGATAGTTGTCTTTGGAATCCTTCGACATTTATGGACAGTGCCAGTTCTGCACGCTGCATTTCTAATGATCGTTTGAATTTACGACGATTTGTCGTCAAATTACTATAGTGTGGTGTCGTCATCGTGAAGCAGAGGTGAAATTTTCACCTTTTAAAGCGACCGAGGGGGTGAATCACTCGGCGTTCTGGTGTCCACATGAGTACATGAGTGCCGGAGAGTACACCTTAGAAAACTTATAAATTTCGCATTTTTAAACGTTTAAAGGCTTAATTTAGTGTTTCAGACAATACGCAACACCGAATCTTACTTCAAACGAGATATTTTTTCTAAATTTAAACTTGTGAGTACACTGAGTGAGTACAGGCTAATTTGTACGCATGAGCACACCAGTGATTAACCCCTCGAAAGCGACCCACGAAATGCAGGTGTCAACGCAGACTGTGAGGTTTGCGGGCGTTGTGCACAAGGGTACATACATAGTGCATGGATGGATATGCAGTACTCCTTGGCTTGCACCTAAAAGTTCGTTTTTTTTTTTGGGGGGGGGGGGGCTTGTTTTAGAAATGTCCACAGTTTTTCGATAGGACGGCTCCGTCATGTTCCCAACGGACGTTTTAGGTGTGTCCTTGGCTCACTGTCTAGACACATCAAAATTTAGTTTCTTACCATTCAGTGACGTTTTTAGCAGTGCCAAACCGTCAAGATTATTAATAAAAAAAAATTGTAATTCCAAGCAAACTTGCTGCAGCATTGGTGCATCGTCGCTTGGGCAGGCGCACTGCTGCTGACCTTCGATCACACTCAGAGCAGATACATCAACTCGTTTGCTGTACGTACAAGTGTCATTAAATAACGACTTTTTTCTCTTTTTTTTTTTTTAGAAATGTACACTTACCCTCCACGAGCATCCGGTGCGTCGAGATTTTATAACTTGTGCAAAACTACCCTCTCATTACTGGAGCGTGACATCACGTTGAGACAAATGTATCAAAATGACACGTTCCTTTGAGCATTGTGTCACTTTCGATTGGATGTGAAGCTGCCATAAAGTATAGCTGAATCGCATTAAAACGAATGGGACACAATGCTCAAAGGAACTTGACATTTTGCCACATTCACAGTAAGACTCGGTCCTGGGTTTCATTTGCATCTAGCATAAGAGAAACCAGGACGGTTCTGGGAAAACCAGGGCCGAGTCTTACCGTGTTCATTTCTACGTGATGTAACGTAAACATGGAATGAGGGTGTATGCAAGAATTTGAACTTACAGGAGAAGTAACCACAGAATTTACGGACTTGATGAGTTTTGAACTTCCTGTTCGAACCTCAACAAAAAGATTGGTATGAATACTTCCAGACAACCGGCACGGCAGGCACCATGCCCAAGTATGCGAACTTTTTACAGCAATTTCAAAAATTTACATCAAAGACGTAAGAGGCGAAGAACATGAAAAGGGTCTGCAAAATTACAGTGTGTCACAAAATAAAAGCGCCCACAAAACAAACCTGTATCTTTTCGGACGAAACTGTTGGAAAAGTGAACTTTTAAGCAAGTGTGCCGTTAAAATGATTTTTGGAGGTTAAAAAATCTTCCGCAAAGGTTCAGTTTGCAGTCGTGACATATCGTGCATACGTGAAAAATCGTTTTGAACGCTACAGGATGTGAAAGGCCACGCATCAGTGCACAATTTAAGCGTGCCCATTGCGTGCCCGTTCCAGCACGCAAGCACAGCGCAAGCCCCCTCGCGTAGAGCGCAAACAAAAAGTCAGTCTCCGTGTGTCCCACATGGTCATTACCTTGCAACTCTATGAAGTCGTCCCTTCTATCACCCGGGTCTATCACCCAGTGTTAGCACAACCAGTTCTTTTGAAATGTATTCGCGCAACTCATTTAAGATGAAATCAAATCAATGTAACTATTTTTGAATAAAAATTGTTTCATTTTTTAAGTAAAAAAGTAAAAAAAAACACAGGTGCTATGATGCTTAGACGCTGGTCGCCAGTCTCATCAGTTTAGATGCCAAAAAGTGCCATTCTTTGAAAAAGCTACGAGAACATAAAGACATAAAGGCCGTTGTACAGACCACCATTTCTCTACATGAGAACAAAGGAAGGCCAAACAAAAACTTCGAGTTTCGTTTTTCAGGGCCCGTACATTGCCTACCTGCACACGTACACTTCGTGCCCATGTGATGGCTCGGCACTGATCCACTTGCGTGCCACGCATTTTAAGCCCACGAGACCTTTTGATCTGCAGGTCATCACATCTAATATGACGTTCAGAAGGAATATCGAGGACGACTTCTGGGTACGAACAATTGCGAGAGTTCAATGTTAGCACACTCTGCAAAAGCAGTTCTACGCACATCGCACACCGAATGTATGCCTGCACTGCAAATCGGATGGAAAGACTTCGCGCCAAAATATGGCGAGATATTTAAGTCTCAGACCTGAAAGTCTCGCCAGAATTTGGTCAGACAAAAAAGTCTCGCCACAAAACGGTCCGACACAGAAGTCTTACCACAAAATGGCGAGACTTTTGTGTCTGGCCACGGCCTAAAAGCCGTAACCGTCCGGCGCAGATTTTTGTGTCTGACCGTTTTGTGGCAAGACTTTCTTGACTGACCTAATTTTAGCGAGACTTTTGGATCGGGCCTAAAATTGGCGAGACTTTTAAGTCATGTCTCGCCTTTGGGTTTAAATCCGTCAAGTTAAAAATCCAGAGAACGAAATTCCCTGCACGGAAGGGTCCCGGCCCGGACATGATTAGCAACAAGTTTTCCATGTCATTTTCCCTAGCGCAATCGGCCTGACGCACAGTGGGCGAGAAGATCGGTAGAGGCGATCACAATTCCTGACGCATTTTGAGCTCCAGAGTTGCTGAATGGGACTCAGACCGAAGGTGTGAGCCCACTAATGGATTGCTCCCCGAACGAGAGATCCATAAGTGGAGTCACACGCTCGGTTCAAGTCCTGTTTAGCGACTCTGGAGCTCAAAACGCGTTTGGAGTTATGATCGCCCCCACCAGTCTTCTGGCACACTGTGTGACGATTCACCATGCTAGTTATACGTGGACTTGGCCCTTCGAAACAACAACGAGTGGAAAGAGAACGCCTTCATGATCAAGTTCCCCAACGTCGGATGCACTGCATTACGTGACCAAGCCCCAAGCGTCTTCGGCATCATAGCTAAAAGTACCGGGGCGCCGACGGACAAGAAAGAACGCTGTTTCATTCCGAAGGTAGGAAACAAGCGGCCATTCCATGCTAAATCTACAATGTGTTCACACTACATTACTATGTATTTTTAGGGGCACGCGTTGTAACAAACCTTGCAAAGTGTTTTAGGCCTTACAAAGAAAAGCAGTTTGTTACAACAAAGTATTTTGAGCATACATAAGCTTACAATAAGAAAATACTTCGTAACTTACGTACTATTTCTTCGCATAAAAAGGTAAATTAGTTTGTATTATGTGTCCTCACACTGCAAGAAAAAACCACAACAAAAGTAGTTTGAATTAGTGGCGACTTTTTTTTTATCACGAATCTATTGTACTTTCAAAGTACGACAATTGTTGTACAAAGTACAATGCTACCGGCATGACGAGTGCTGGGCAGTCCAGGCTCGTTGTGGTTTGTACAATTCTCGTTGTACTGTATACAATACAGTATTCTAGTCGTCGCCGATCGAAGAACAAGAAGAAGAACAAAGCCGGAACCGGCGCCGGCTACATAACCTCCCAGACTTCGATGAGTGGACTAGTTACTGAGTTTTCTGTGCTGTGGCGTATCTCCTTGAAAAGCACTTTCGTTTGTTCCAAACACTTTTTGACACCAGGAAATTTAAATATTCGTCGACATTTCTCGCTGGAACCGGGCTTGATACCTACTCCGTTTCTTCCCAGCTTCCGGTTTTGTTCTTCTTTTTGTTCTTCGATCGGCGACGACTACAGGGTGAGTTTTTCCGATGTGTCTATAATTTCTAGGAAGCTTAGGCACCCCTAGCGAATAATTTTTCGCCAGTGAACTAGTGGGCGCAAACGTCTAGTTACTGAGATAATAAGTGTTTTGTAATTTAACCTCGCGCCCACGAGGTAGGCTCCCGCCGCCACTGAGGGTGGCGGGACCTCACGAGTGGGTGTCATGGGACTCGCAGTACCCGAGGGACTGCCACTGACCCTGATGGAGCAGGGGAGAAATGGGGATAGTCCGAAGCGGTCTTTTAGGATCCGTAGCTGTCCTTAGAAAATCCCCGAGTGTGTTTTTCGATGTTTCCGAGTTTGAAATCAAAAAGGTAGCGCTCCGACCACTGTACAATGAATCCTACGCCCATTTCACATCTACTCTGACATTCATCCCTGGGGATGTCCCTAGGAATCGAGAAATTACCGATCCTTGCTCAGTCCATTACGGTCTTTTAGGATTAATACCAAAAGGAATCCTGAGGGAAAGTCCATTGGGAGTCCCTTTCATTAGGGAGTCTTTAAATTCGACATAGGGATAATCCAACCGACTATCCCTTTTACTCTATATGGGGAAATCCTAGGGGATAAATGTTTTAAACTCCTAAAGGATATTGAGAAGACTCCCCAGAGGAGAACTAAGAAAGTTGTCCTAATGGAAACTCGAGGACTTTTTTTTTGTCCCTGCGGACAAATCTTTAAGGATTTATGAAAATCCTTTATTATAAAAGATAACCTGGAGTTATTATTCTTGTCCCTGCGGACTTATCTGTAAGCATGTTTTGAAATCCAAAAGAACATTGAAAGGACTCCACTCGGATTTCGGTGGAAAATCCTTAACACTAGAAGCGCCGGGTTTTCGGATAACCGTAAAGCGCCGAGCGGGCCAATTTGACCCAAGGGCATTTTCGTCGTACATGTCAACTCTTGAACCGTCATTTCGACTCAAAGGGAACCTAAAACGGACTTGTAGACCCTTAGCAAGTCAACACTGTAAATCCAAAGGCAATACTTTTAGCACCTTTTTTGGTAATACAATTGAGTATTGCCAATAAACGGGATTACGGAAAAGTATTGCCTTCAAAACGGCAATACACAAAAGTATCACCAAAATTTGGCGATACTTTGGAGTATTGCCACGATTTGGCAATAAACGTCGAACAAATCAAGGGCACAAGTCCTTGGTTTCATGCAGCAGTTTTGGCATTACCCAAAAGTATCGCCAAATTTTGGCGATACTTCCGTGTATCGCCGTTCTGAAGGCATTACTTTTCCGTAAGGCCGTTTACTGGCGATACTCAATTGTATCGCCAAAAAGTGTACTTTAGTATCGCCTTTGCATTTGCAGTGAAAGGATAAAATTTGGTGCACAGGGGTCCCAGGGGACGAGGTAGGCAACCCGCAAACCATGATTTGCTGTTCTTAGCGTTTCCTACTGTGCCTCGTTGCAGAAACGTTTTTGATGATAATAGATGGCATAATTGTAATCGTCTTATGATCGAGATAGTGACCTTTAATCAAATTACTGAACCGGAGACCATTAAGACCTGGCCAAACCTTCAAAGCATAGCTCTGCAAGGCATGCCTGGAAACCAGGATTCATAGCAACGGAGAAGCTCATAGTAAGGAGGATTGAGTGCTCGATTGAGTGCTAAAAAGGCTGGAATGTAAGAGACATGTGTAAACACCCTCGGGTACTCAATAAACTCGCCACAACCAGCAAGGCGCGTAGTAGGTTCTAATTTGCGTCCGTTCGTCAACTAGCATTCCGTGATCTGTCCTAACCAGTTTTGCTCCTGCTGTATCCCTGAGATGCATTTCCGTGTCGTCCATCGTCCTGACCGGCTTGTACCGACATCTACGGAATTAGCCGAACTAGTTAAAATGTACGGAGGCAAGTGAATTACCTTGAAATACTAGACACGAGAGCAACAAAGTGGACCTCGGCATTTTATTTATCTCTTTACGCATGAGTAAGTGATGGAGTCCTTTGTCCCAAGGATTCGGGCTGAGCGTGCTATGAGTGCCACTGAAGGTAGACTAGCGGCTCAGTGTTCGAGAGACACCCTAGGGCGTTAAGGAGTCAATCGGGTTTCCCAAAATGCCTAAGACATTGGCAGTTTACGTCAAAGGAAGCTGCACGATGTCTCCAGCCAGAAAATGTATTGCGGGTTGCCTACTTCGTTATAAACGCCGACCTAACGCATTCCTAATATGAGGTAAGTTATTTTAAGTGGTGAAGAGTCAGTTCATAGCTCGTTTCGTTGTGTAGAAACGCGAAAATTTGGTCAAAATGCCGTGTGGGTCAATCTGGCCCGCTTGGCGCTTTACGGTAAAAGTCAATTTATCTCGGTCAAATATGGTCCGAGAACGTCCAGATTTCGAATTTAGACGCATTTCACCATTCTAGGAAAAGTCAGAAATTAGGGAGCTGCCACTTTCATTTTGAAAAGTCGAAATTACAGTTCAAAACTGAAAATGGGTCAAATTGGCCCGTTCGGCGCTTCTAGTGTTAAAGATAATCGGAGGAATTATCCATCTTGTCCCGTCCCTACGAACTTATCTGTAAGGATGTTTTACAATCCAAAAGGACATGATAGGAAATCCATTTGGATTTTTAGTACAGGGATTTTTAGTGCAGGATTGTTTAAGGACTTAAATCCTTTTTGTCCCTGGGGAATCTGCAAGGATTTATTCAAGGGCATTGAAACTCTTCTTGGATTTAAGTTGACGAATCCTAAAAGATAACCACAGGATTTATCCCTTTTTGTCCCTGAGGACTTATCTATAAGGATTTTTTAAAATCCAGAAGGACTCTGATAGGAATCCCCTTGGACTTTAGTACAGAATCCTGTAAAGTTGTCCAAGGCGGAACACATAAGGATTTTTTTTTGTCCATGCGGACAAATCTGGAAATATTTGTTACAAATCCACAAGGATATTGGTGACGAGCAGATGGGTAGATAAAAAGAATCCAGGCATATGTAACCATTTATTCAGATTTGGAACGAAGAAATTGCACAAACTAGTGACCTGAGATTCAGATTTATGCATTTGGAAAAGTTGTCATGCATAATATCCGTCACAAATTTTTTTATTATTCATCTCAGACAATGCATTGTTGGAGAATTTGAATAAAAGACTTGCTCATAATAAATTAAAAGGCGCTCTATGTTAATGAATATTTGCTTACAATTATCATAAATTTCTCTGAGCCTTTATTTACACTTCTGTGGTTGTGTACCATGTATATCACAGGTTTTCCATACTTCCATAATCTAACAACTTCTTTTATCACATCAATCTTACAACTGAGTAGTTAATAATATTGTACTGAATTGAATCCTTACTTACGCATAATTTTATCATGACACATTGATCAAGTTGCTCATGAGACTGCAGTTAAAATAAAATACAAACTTTGAACTGAGCTAGTTCAGGGTCTGGAGTTAACAAAGCAATTGGAATTATAAGAGATCAGTAACAAAGCAGTTTTCAATCAATTTCACAGCAGTTAGGAACACACGTTGCATAGATCACATTTCCAACTCTCATTTTAACAGCTGGGCATCGAACTTGGTCTAGATATAGAAAATGTAATAGATCAGCATTTACATCCTGTAATAATGACAAATGAGTTGATACTGGAACAACTTGTCTGACATCATGTTCTACTACAAAAGCACCGCATTGTTCTTGTCCATCATTGTCCAAGAAGGAGAAAATTGTCCGTAAAGTGCAGAAAGTATCTTGCGTAGAATAGATGAAGGTGTCATCAGATTTAATAGCGGGAGACTGTGAAGCACTTGACCAGTATCTTGTCGTCATTTTCATGAAGCTTCTGTGTTCAGTAATCTGCTGACAATCAATTTGCTCTCTTGCAAGCACTTCAGCCTCTTCATCAGTGGTAGCTCTGTCGATACCACGCCCCACAAGGTACAAGTGACGCCCAACCTCTCGTTTCTCTTGAATCTGATACGGGTTCAAAATTTCTTCAATCCTCAATCTTACCTCTTCTGACAACCTTTCATCATACTGAGCAGAGTTCACTGCAGTATTAAGAACTACACGAGTTACAATTTGCATAACTGCACCTTGGGGCGATGTGACTTTGTCAATTACTTTCCTATTCAGTGACTCAAAGTTGTAAGTAGTGTATGCAAATGGATTTCCTAGACTTCTGACACTTTGACCCTTGTGCCTTGTAGTGACGTGAAAATTATATTTTATTCTGTGAACCCCGAAGGTCAATTCAAATCTTCTTGCAGTGAAGTCTAGTC